TTCCCATCGCCGAACTATTTGCAGCCATCTGCGTTTTAAAAATAACTTTGGAGAACTTGGAAACAGCGAAATCAAGAAATAGACCCCTCGATCTAATTGAACATATCAATCTGCATGTCAAAGAGTCCACAATCTTGGATTACAGATACATCGAACACATCAGCGGATTACGCAATCTGCTTAATCTGCTTACGCATCTTAATGCACTTTATTTACGAGTTTAATAACGCCTTGAAATGCTGAGAATAACATTAATGACCTGCCAAGCCAATCAATAGCAAATGGATTCCACAAAAGATGCGATAAAAGAAGCGATCTTCAGGTTTACCTTCTATAGAAACACATTGACGATATCTAAATTGAGATGTTCGCTTATATAGAAATCGTGACGACATTTTGGCGAAAGCTCTAACCAAGTGTCATTCATAGATTGGCTAAAAAAAATGGCAATATTTCATATTTCTTATTGCTTTCGTTATCAAAAACTTTCCTACGGCACGTGGAGCATGGAAATACCATTTATCGCAGTAGTTTATGTTTGTTTATATTTCACTTAAATTTATTAGAAATTCAAATTTGTAATCGCGTCTGAGAGCTAACATCATTAGGTGTAGAACTAGTTTCCACTAGTCGGAGCTGATCGAGAATTTATATATGCTCAGTAATTGCACTCAAACTTCAGGTCGATGTTGGCATAAACTGTATCCACCGGCAAATTTAGTCGTAATATGTAAAGTAATTCCCATTACGTCAAATTGATGTCTAGTCAATGAGTATGCATGAATTTGAGTTTCCAAAGTTTGCATTAATTGGCGAACGAGAAGTTGGAAAAAAAGATCTGCGGCTAGAGGACAACCGCAATCCGATGGAAACCAGACTCCAACTCCAGATGATCTGATAAAAAAGCAAGCTCGAGATTAATGAATAGGTGCACAGAAATAAAAATATGCAAATTTATTACCGAACAAGGAATGTTAAAGAATTAATTTCTATGTAAAAAAAATCTGTTTATTTTTCTTTTGTTTATATACTTTGAATACTTTTAACCATAAACATCTATTTATCTTACTTGATTTACTTATTTAAAACTCTTTTAGCTTTTAGTTTTTGTTTTTTATACATTCCGCTGACTCATTTTATTTCCCAAAAATGTATATATTTTTTTATATCTTTTAATTGCATTCGAATTGAGCTGCAGCTTTTGCATAACACCTTAGTCGCGCCAATCGAGGCAAATAATCACTGCCAACTTGGCACCGCATCAAGTCGCACAATGCATACCAATTAATTAAGACCTGGCACGGCTCCCTGCTCCACGTCGACTTATTTGGCTAATTGTCTTTCGATCGGCCAGATAGCGGCCGAAATAAATAAATGTATTCCAGCCCACAGTCGTCGAGCAAATTTAGATTAAACGGGTTGCGTTGCGCACGCGCTTAAAAGGCGGCTGCCGCCAATTATTGTTAACACAAGCCGGCAAATCGGCGAATCGATCGAGATACTGATTCAGAGGCGCCAAGCTGAAATGACGGCGCTCGGCGATTTGCATAAATTAAATGATATTATTTAGCTACAGATTGCAATCGGACAAGGGCAATTAAAAGGCGCGGGAATGAAAAGCATTGTTATTACGGGGTGTCTTTAATGGGTTCTCGTAGGTGATGAAAACGGAATTACAAAACGTGTGTAATCGATGGGAATTATGATTAAAAGCGAAAGGCAATGCACCTCTTTGTTTTACTTTGAACTTAAATGCATAAACAACCAGGGACAATGGCCATTGTCCTGGGTCCGCAAAACAATGACAACAAGTTCCAAAAAAACAGAATGCTTGCAACGATAAATATATAACGACAAGGTCAGCACAAAAAAACGACCTTATGATTCACTGAAACTGCAGGAGACAATATTCTGGGAAAGTACGAAAAAATATATATTTAAAACCGAAATGCCGCCCTTATCAAAATTCAATACTGCGGCTTGGGATCGTGGGAATGCGGCCTCAAATGCAAAATGCTGATTAAGCTAATCCGAAGCCCGTATGCCACGCCCACCGCAAATAATTCATGCCAATCTTTCACAACAATTATGCGCAACACTTGCGAGCTAATATTTATGTAAACACGGACACGGACAGCTATTTTCACTTGGCCCGAACACGAATCTGTGGGATGCAACTGCAAATGTATCTGCATCTCGGCATCTGCATCTCAGCATCTCGGCATCTCTGAAAGTCAATCTGAGTGTAAGGCCGCGTTAATGCCCCAAACCTGTTCGTCTTCTGGCTATTTATTTTGCCGCATATATTTTGTTAATTTTGTTACCTTTGGAGCTGTTTTGCCCGGCTGCTTGGCTACCTGATTTAGTAGTTTACTTTGGTAATATACCGAGAAAAAATGCAACTTTTTCTACCTGTTTTTTAATAAATAATTATTAATTTTTTTCTGCTTTTTAAAATCTATAAAAAAATATCTCCATAAAATGCCTTGCTTTTAGGTAAACCCAATTCCTTTCTGTTCATTTTGGACATTCCTTTATTAAAAAGTATTACAACTTTTAAAAATATTTCAAAAATATTTTATAGATGCAGACTTCCCCAAACTCAAAAAAAAAAAGTATTGGATTTAGTATTAAGTATTTCAAGAGTAATTGGCCTAAGTTCCATTATATTTTCAATACCCTTTCCCCCCTTAACTTTTTCTCGCTCTGTAGAATTAACTTGCAGACAGCTGGCTGCTGAGGAGCCCTCTCGATCTTTCAGCGCCAACTGCCTGGTTCCATTTAACAATATTATTATGAGATGCGAGTGCGCGGCATTTATCAACCAACAAGTGGCGGATACCGGGCATGTTTCTAATTTAAATATTTCGCAAGTGCGCGAATCGGACTCGCGCAAACCATTCACAAATGACCTAATTGAGACATAGGTTCTCCCAGTTATCTGTGGCGGTGATTTTTTACTCACTTCGGCCTGAGTCATTGGCAAAATTACGACATCGGGGGCGTGTGGGGGTCACATGTAAATTTGTAGACAATTTTAATTAATTTGTACATATTTCCAGTTACTGGTTTTTTCACTGAGAACTCATGCATTTTCACTGCTGATTCATGAAGATTTATACTTGTTTTCGGGACGGACTCTTAAATTGGCCTACATTGTTGTGGTTCTGGTTTTATGGCTGTGCCTATGACAAAGTCCCCCTTTTGCCACATATTTTTTTATTTTTTTTTTGTTCGCCATTTCACCCGCCTTTTCAGCTCTTGCAACTAATATTGGTGGCATTCCCTTTTGCAGTTATCCGCCTCGTGCAAATGTTTATGTGTATTACATCAAAGTACATTTGTACATTTGTTTTTCAGCCGGTTGTCGCTGCCGGTTGCTGTTGCCGTGAATTAGAGTCACAGTGCGGCAACAAAAGGGGGGAACTTTCAACAGTGTCGGCCATGTCAGGCCCACGAATGTTCACAAATGTGTACCGAAAATGTTTGTCCTCAAAACTTTTTGTCCTGCCAATTTATGGGGAAGGCGGAATAACGAGGCATTTGTCATCTAATAAAGACAACTTGGGACAGCCCGCATGAAGATAACAATAAGATATTTACCGTTGGGGAGTTTCTAAAAACAAGAATTTCCAGTAAGATCAATGATTCAGCCGCCTACTTAAAGAATATTTATTAAAATAAGGCATTTTCTATGCATATCACGATTCGCTAAATAATTCACAAGAAAAACGCTGCTTCAAAGAACAACAATATCCACACTCAAAAAGGCCTTTTAAATGCTCTTATAAAAGACCATTTGAAAAATGATGAATCAATCCTTCAACCAATTGTTCACATTTCTTAGCTTTTAATTAACGCAATTCCCAGTCATTCCACGCATTGCAAAATAACTCACCAGAAAATCAAACTGTCAAAGAAGCCACCCAAGAAATAATTATAGTTTCAAAGAATCACGACAGCACTCACTCAAGATTTATATGCATTAATTACAAGTTTATTTCGACATGATTGCAATATGCAATTATCGCGTTTAAAATACACAAGCGAGTATATAAAGCTGTGCCCCCATAAATCGGAAAATCGCAGGCGGTAAGTTGACATATTGCCTAGCCCTGGCGACAGCTTCAATTTCCGCTGCTGAGCCAAAGATCGTTCAATCAACATAATGCCGTTGGGAGATCATTAACGTCTCTTAATGCCGGCAAAATATTGAGGGAAAAAAACGAAGACAAAACTGGCAAGACAAATTTGGAAGATGGCAAATTGGGTCTACAAAAGATTTCTTAGTTATTAAGTATTTATTTTTATACTCTGGATATTAAATGGAAATCATGCTGAGAAATATAAATTTCTGTATTATTTTGATAACAAATTTAATTTTAATTCAATACAAGATAGCTTATGTTACCAGCACATAAATAGTTAAGCAAAGTTTATTAAGTTTTCCTTATGAGTCACATTAAACGTAAATTAAATATGTAAACATATTGAAGAAGCATATTACCAAGATTACAGACATTTTGCAAATATTTGCGGCAACATCTGGCCAAGAAATCCGTGAAGGGCAACCAAACGCCGAATTTGCCTCATCTCTTTGTATTGACTTAAAGTTATATTTATTAATGAGCTGCGCAAATATGCATAGTTAATTTTCAGTTCATTGCCGTTGTTTTTGCCTTATTTGTTTGTCGAGTATTTTGTTTGCTGTTTACTGTTTGCAATGACTGGGCAATGATATGAGCAGAAATAGAGAAATCAACTGAAATAACTAAAAGTTATTTAATAAGCAAATGAAAGCGACGCTCTACTCAATTATCAGCTGGGTGGCACAAAGATACCCACAAACTGAAATGCATTTCCTCCTAGCAAATATCATTTGCGAATGTCCGACTTCAAGTGGTCTTAGTGGGCAATATGGAATTTTTGGCCGTTTACCCATTTACGTGACGGAATAATCAACCATCAAAGGTAATCGCTTGAAATAGTTTTGGACTCACCTCAGCCTCCAGTTAAAGGACAATGAATGTTTCCACGTATTCCCTGGCGGAAGTGGGCCTCTCTACTGCTGCATAGTTTCGGGCGACAGTTTCCGGCAAACAGGACACTTTTCACAATGCCCTCGGACACTTTTCTTTTAGGCCCGTTTCCTTTGTACTCTCGGGTATTCCGTTCTTCTTCTGATTCACTACACTACACAAAACGAAACGGCGAAAAGGGGGTTGATTTAGAGAACGGGGCGTAGTTGACAGGGGGTCCATGCAATCGGCGAAGGGGGTAGACAATGATGGCTCATTTTAAATGGCATTGACATTGGCCAGTCATTGTCCGGCAGTGGGACAAAGCAGGAACCACAAAGGCAATCCAAAGGATTTCTGATTTTTCTGAACACAAAGTAGACCGATCGGCAATTGGCTATTACAAAGCTCGACACGCAAAAATACACTGAAGATTAAACACGGATTTTTCAAAACAAAGATATGATTGTTTAAAATAAATAATAATTAAGAACACAATGCATTTTAATTACTCAGAGATATTTCTGTCCACAAAATTTATATGTACCAAAGTATTAAATATATACTCTTTTATTTATTATTATATATACACTTTCTAGCTTGTGGTTTTTATTTAATTTTAAAAGCTTTTTTGTTTATATTTTCGTTTACGTTTCTAAAACACTTTTGGGCTTTTAAATAAAAACATGGTTCTCTATCGCAAAATCAAATTTACTATACAAAATTTATGTTTTTCGCGTTGAAGCTTTAAGCAAATTCATTTTTTAAACTACAATTTGGATTTCAAATATTTTGTTTTTTTTTTGTGTGTACCGATCTAGGCGGAGAAAAACACAGCACTTACACACGGAAAGCCGAGTTTTACGATTTTCGAATCGCCGGGAAAGCACGCGTTGAAGCCACCGGCACTGAATTCGCGTGTGGGTGCTCCGTGATGCTCTCGGTTCAGCGGTCAAACTGAGACTGAGACTGAAAACGAAACTTATTGCGAGTAGGAAATTTTGCGTCGGCGGCAGCAAAAGCAGAGGGCAGCGACGCCGGCAGCGCCGTCGACGAATTCGAGAGATGTAAAAGCTAAAATGCTACCGCTTTTTTTTCCCGGCTCTTGTGAAAAACGTTTTTGCTGATACTTTGACTGCTGATATAGTAGGAGCGCAAAATTCGAAATGCAATTAAAAGCATTGTTTAAAAGAATTCGAAACACTAGATAACTTTTAAATGCGGAGAAAGAGAGATAGACAGGCTCTAAATGAAACGAAAACTAAGAAAACAACAATCTGGGCTTTCTGTTGTTTGTATTTTGGGTAAGCAAATTAAATTGATCTGATTGACTTTTAATCCGGAAAAGTTTACTATTCTGAAACTATAGTCAGAAAAGTAAGAGGATATGTTAACAATTTCAATCCCCAATATATAATTTAAAGTACTAGTTGTTAAGTAATTATTTGTAAACATTTAACTAAACAATTTGTATGCAAGCGTTGGTTAAATGAATTCCTCGCTAACATTATGAAATGCACTTTGTTTTGTTTGGTATTAATTAGATAAGCACATGATCTTAAAACCATTTAAAAAGATTTTATGCTGCTTATCTAATCTTAAGTATATCATTTATTAGAAATCTTTAATCTAATCAAGCCCACAATTTGCTTAGCAAGTATGGTAATTATGTGGGTTAGATTTCTTAAGCCTATAAAAACAGCAAAAGCATTTGTCCAAACATAATCAAGTTTTTATTAATCAAGGCTTACAAGTCGGCTCATTAAAGTTTGGCAGAAGGCAAATTCAAATAAATTACAAGCGGCTGACGCATTAAAGGTAAACAAAATTTACAATTTGGTAGATTTGTTTATACCCTATATTGATTTATTGCTTCCTGTATTTATTAGTGAAAAGTATATAACATGCTAGTTCCAATATATTTGTTTATTTAACTAACTGGGATCTACCATCTTCAGTCTACTATATCATTTTTAATTTGGTCTGCGGTGTTTTCTGGTCTCGTCCGAGTCAAATCAAAACGCAATTTCGCAGAGCGCAGCGCAATTTTCCGCCGCATGGCGGGCCAAGTCTGCAGGTGGCTTGGCTTCTGCATTTCCCGGCTTTTCCCACAATTCGCCTTCACTGCAACCACTTGGCTATAAATAGGACCAACTGGAGACGAACCCAACGGGCAACACTTTCGTTTAACTTTTGTGGAAAAGGCGGGGAGACAGCACCAGAAATTAGTTCCCAGGCGGCTTTATAAGCTTTTCCAGCGCGCAAAGGGTTGAGGCCACGAGTGTGGAAATGCCGGAAAATTGTGAGGAGAAGAAGCAGTCGATAGACAAAAACATGTGCCGGTGGTCCCACATGTGGGCCGTGGCAAGTTTGCCGCCTTAATTATTTATACGTAATAAAACTAAGCATAATTCTCTAGCAACAACTACGCACTGGCGCCTCATTTCAAATTCTATAAATAATTTGAAAAGCAGTTGATACGAATGGCAAAAGTCTCTAAAGGCTTCCCCCAAAAAGCCGGAAAAACTGTAAAGACATTCATACAAGTTGTTGGGAACAAAAAGGAGGGAAGCTCCAAAAGAGAGGGAAAGAGAGAGGACAAAACAGAGCGTCGGCAGAGAAGAAGAGAGCAATAAAGAGTCGACTGCAACGCCGACTGCGCGGTAGCAGCGTCACATGCGGCGTATGCGTAATTTTGTCGGCCTTATCAGAAAGCCATTGCAAGCAAACTTTATTTTAAAGAGCCGGGCCATTTATCGAACTTGCAACGTGTTGTCTCCTGCGGTTCCATCTACTATCTCCCTCCACCATACCCCTCCCCCCTCTCCTATCGCCACTCCCACAAACCGTTGCTGCCGCAAGAGTCGCGTTGTTTGCACGCCGGCTGCCCAAAGCCCGCCAATTGTTTATTCAAGCAGCATCGCAGCTCATGTTGCCCATGTGCACTTGAACTGCCTTCGTCGAAGCTCCCATCCCCTGCCTTCCCCAAGCTGCATCTCCCATTTCGCATTCCCCATCCGCAGCTCCCTTTGCCCGGCATGCCTGTGCATTCATTTGGCCGGCGATGTGTTTGTCTGGCCATTTTTTTCCGGCTCTGCAGCCAGCCTCCGCCTAAAACACTGGGAGAAACTATAAGTGAAAGTTGTAATCGATAAATAATGCGTTATAAAAAATAAAAGATACGTAGGTTGATGGCAGGGTTAGGATTATTTATTAATATCTAACCTGAACTTGTTGAAAGTACAAACATTTTTCTAAAATTAACTTTAAACTTATTGCGCTTGTTAAGTATTTCACTTCTGATTATCAGGATGATCAGGATGATTTTAACTTAAAAATTTATTGATGAATAATTTACAAAAAAAAATGTAGACTACTATTTAAAGTACTGGAAATGAATAAGTTCTCAATAAAAGTCAGACATAAAACTATAGTGAATATAAAACTATATGAAAGCTCTGAGAGCCCCAACGCGTTGCAATACTGCCTATTAAAATTTCAAAGTGTTGTAAACTATAAACATTTTAATTGCGTCATAAATTGGAATATTTTTTGTTCTATAAAATCAAAGTGCTCATAATTTTTCTTTGTGCAGGTAGCACTCATTGCAGTTGTTATCGCCGCAGTTTGTTGTTGTCGCCGGGTTTAAGCGGCTCTTAGTGGCAGTGAATCAGTGGCCAAACATGTAATCTGTTTAATGGCCAACTGGCCGTGCATCGGCGTCGACTGGTCCTTCACGCCCATGAACCATTTTAGCCGGTCGCGTATACGCACCGTGAGCCGGACAAAGTCTTGGAATTTGCATAGATTTTTTTTTCAAATGCTCGTACTCTTTTTTTGGTGGCTCTATAAAATGCCCACCTGTTGAATATGGCAAAGCCGAAAAGAAACACAAATGCCACTTGGTAATTTGGACCAAACAAAAAACGTGAAAAATCGCTGAACAAAACAACCGAAACACAAAAAACAAAGTAATACTGAAAGCGGCCGCAAACTTGTTCAACAGCGTAGCTTGTGATTTGCATAAAGCGCTAAAAACGTAAGCTGAAACAAATAAACATTTACCACATCTCTGAGTAAGACAAAATCAATATAGAGATTGCATACAGTATTATTCGCTTTGATTTTTCAATTAGTCAGGCAAACTCATCGCGCATCTTAAAACCCTTAATCTAAGCCTCCGATCTCGACACTTTCGGGGATTTTATTACACCGGCAAAACCTGGTATTCAAGCTTTTTCGGGCCTTTTGATTCGCGATTAACACCGTTTATCGATCTCCAGCCAAAGTTCTAAAATAAATGGCCCAGAAATTCCATACTCGAACGCAGAACATGTCTAATTTCCATAAATAACGACCTGAGTTGCCTTGACTCGATATGATTTTAATCATTATCTTGAGTCAAAACTTATTTGCATTTCAACAAATAGATATCAATCTGATTGCATTCTAATTTCGCGATGTTTCCGTTTCAAATCCTGATAGACCAAATTAAATGACGTTGAATAGTCATCTTTTAAAGCCAATATAGTTTTTACGAGTCCAAAGTTATTGCCAACTAAATGTATTCTAAACAGATAATCGACCATAAAATTTCCCCAATTTTGTTCGGCTTTTGCTAAACCTGCTTGTCAATTTTGATTGCCAATTTTATTATTTTCAGACACTTTATAGATCACATATAAAAATGGGTATAGGATAAAAATTTTGAATGCTGCTGTTCTAGACTGATTAGCATTCAACTTGAATCGCATCGATTGGGATAATACTATTCATTTGCCCTAATTAAGTGAAGTGATGATTTGCATTTCGAATTAATTTACCACAAATGAGTATGCTGTTTCGTTAGTTTAAAACCATTTAAAGATGGAAACCATTAAAAATTTGTTTTAGTATTTCTAACAGATTGGGGTTTGAATTAAAATTTGTCTCTGACAAAGAAGCACACATTTTTTCTTGTTAGGATTATATTTACTCTCAATCCTCAGTTACATATACAACATGGCGTATACTTTATTTTATTAATGCCTTAAAACTTTAAAAATAAATTTTTTTAAAATAGCGAAGACATGAACGACTAAAAACGATAAAAGGTGGCTCTAATAACGGGTTGGGGTACTGGGACAAAACCAACAAAATATCCAACAGAGGAAAACTTAAAAACAAAAGACCGAAAGGAGGCGCTAAAAGTTACGAAGGTTTAAAGTGGGCGTAAGTGAAGTTCCTATGGGCTGAGAAAGTATAAGAGTTGTTTTTAAAGAATTTCCCATATATAGCCATCTATGTGTGGCGACTTGGCGAAAGTGTTCCCAGTGTTCCTACAAGATGCCAATAGGTGGAGCTAAAAACTAACTTGCCACCCGCTTATTAGTCGAACCTAAAAGCGAATTAGAATTAAGAATACATTTAATAATGAAATACAATTTAAAGGTGTTTTATTTACGGTTCAAGTTTTAAACTTTATACGGTAATTTTTATTATTCATTAACAAGCACCTTTTTGGGTAAATTTTAGAAGGCCTTTTCCCAAAACAGATTAGCATATACGCAAACCTGCAATAGTAAAATCTGAGTACGGTCACCCTAGCCAATCAGCTGTTGCCCCGCCACTCCCCTCGCCTATCCACGCCCATCGTCATTGTTTATCTGTTTTCATTTCTGCGACTTTTGTTTTTCCGTTGAAAATGAGCTCCTGGCGCGAGAGTCTTACCAGCATTCCGGGCACGGTGGCTCAGCTGATCAACGAGAGTGCCAGCAACCTGTTGCACGCCTCATCCTCTCTGGGATCAACAGTTGGCTTCGGTGGCTCCACAGGATCCGTTTCCGAGGGCACGGGCTCCGAGGAAAGTGGCCCGATGAGCGAGTACCGCGCCCTGCCCATTCCCGCCTCCCTGGTGCGCGAGCAGTGGCGCCTGATCTTCACCAGCGATGCGAACATCCAGGACCTCCAGGCAGCCATTGCCCACTGCAGGGATCTCGTCCTGCTGAGCGAGGAGCTAAGTGACGAGCGGCGCTGGCTGGTTCGTCACCTGGTGGACCTACGCTACTCCCTGCAGGAACTGGAGGAGGCCCAGGAGCAGCAGTCCCTGTCCTCCGACATGGTCGTCATGAACGCCATCCGCGCCGTGGTCGGTCATCACTTTGTGCCCCACCATCCGCATCACGGCAAGCGCAGTCGCCTGCAGGCGGCCGCCAAGCGGAACTACTGTGACCACTGCACCGCCATCATCTGGAGCGTGGTGCAGTCGTCCTATGTGTGCAGCGACTGCGGGTTCCTCGTCCACCAGAAGTGCATCGATGGGGTCAAGAGGGTATGCGCCCATGTCCTCGTCTCCGAGAGGCAGTATCCCATCTCGGAGATCTCTCCGGAAATTGGACTGGCCGCCCAGGGTTACAAGTGCGCCGAGTGCGGAACGCTCCTTAATTTGAGTGAGTTTATAAGAGGTTTATAACCTTGCAGATAAAATCCATGATTCCATCTAATGAAAATCATCTTCTGCAGAAAACACCTGGATTGAACCACGCCTATGCGACTACAGTGGCTTGTACTACTGTCCTCGTTGCCACTGGAACGACAGCAACTTTATACCGGCTCGCATCATCCACAACTGGGACTTTTCACCTCGCAGAGTGTCGCGAACGGCGCTCCAGGAGATTCGCTTGTTCCTGAACAAACCCCTCATCCGCTTGGAGGAGGACAACCCGAAGCTCTTTGTTTTCGTGGAGAAGCTGTGTGCGGTGAAGAAACTGCGCCAGAACCTGGTGCACATGCGGCACTATCTGGCCGCCTGCAGGATCGCCAGCGAACTGAAGCTGGTGGATCAGCAACTGGGCGGCAGACGTCACCTGGCACAGTCGAATGAGTTCTATTCCCTGACGGATCTCACGCAGGTGGAGTCCGGGGCACTCACCGAATTCCTGCAGGCGGTCTTCAAGGCCTTCAACGAGCACATCCGGTCCTGCCACATGTGTCTGGCCCAAGCGTACATCTGTGAGATTTGCAGCAACAACGAGGTGATCTTCCCCTTCGACGACGGCTGCATCAAGTGCGATCAGTGCAACTCCATCTTCCACCGCGTTTGCCTGACGCGCAAGAATATGATTTGTCCCAAGTGCATCCGCATCCAGGAGCGGCGCCTCCAACTGGATCGGATGCGGAGCACGGAAGATGACCAGGCGGCCACCGATGATGAAGTGGCTGCCGCAGAGTAACTGATCTAATCAGTGTTAACTTGTTCTGTGCTGGTTTTTAATATTATATGTACATAAAATGTAATTACAAAGTGTAACTCTACTATTAATCATAGATTTATCCTGGATTTTTACTTATCCTTCTTCCCGTATTTTTCCCGTTTGTGGAACTTTCTGGGATTTATTCCGTAGGCCTTCAGTCGATCGTCGGTTATTCCATTTTGCGTTTTGTTCATCTTGTTTTTCGCCTTAAAGTTATTGGTTTTCTTTGCTGGGAAGGGTGCGCTTGGTTTTTCATTCGCTTTCTTGAAAGGATTGGCACCTGTGGCATTTCTAGGATTTGTTTTGTTGTCACTTCGGTTCTTGTTTATTTGTGGTTGCAACTGCTTTTCGTTGGGGTTTACAGATGGCCTATTGAAAGGATTATTTCCTTTTGGCTTTTCGTTCTTTGTGGGTGGATTTTCCGTATTTTTAAAAACGTTTTTGGGCTTTGACTTTGCTTTACTATTTTGATTTTGTGATTTAGTCAATCCATTTTGCCCGTTTTTAGGCTCCTTTTTGTTATTATTTGCGGCGTTGTTGTTGGGTTTCGTTGTTTCGGTCTTCTTCATTTGTTGATTTGCTTCATCTTTGCCCTTCTTAGCAGGAGGACCTTCATTGTTCTTAGTTTCCTCTGCCTTTTTGTTTTCTGTTGATTCTTTTGGTTCCTCTTTGGAAACCTGTGATGAACTGGCTGCAGATGCTGCAGCAGCCTTGCGCTTTAGCCGTTTCCTCTTCGATTTCGATAAGCCCTCCGTTGGAATTTGTGCACTTTCAGCTGCAGCTGGGGTTTCAACAGCTGGTTTACTTTCAGGCGCTGCTTCCGCTGGCTGCTCTTCATCGTCAGATCTGCAAAAATATCACTTTATAGTCCATCTGCTTACTAAAATACAAATGTTAAAATTACTTACCCATCGCCATACAGACTCTTGAATATCTTTCGCTTGAGGTCTTCATTTTTTGCCTTCATCTTGTACAAACGTTGCTCCTTTTTCTCGATATGTTCGGGCCTGTTTTGTACAGCTTTCTTAAGACTGGCCCATTGGTTGAGTTCCTTATTCTTGGCCAGCAAGATCTGCAAATAAGAAATAAATAAATAAAATTTTTATTTATTAAAAACGGATTAGGCAGAAGTTACCTCTTCTATCGTCAGCCCGAAATCATTCGGTGTAGTTTCCACATATTTGAACCGACATGGCTGATCTCCCACGATGTCCTCGCAGTCCATTTGGTAGTACTCGTCGATGTACTCACTGTAGGTCTTCTCGTCCTCAGGATTGAATGCGGGCTTTTCCGCCTGAATCATTTCCATAAAGCGATTTCGCCTGCCCTTGCGACCTTTTCGTCCCCGCGTGTTTTCAATGAGCTCCTGTTGGAGTTGCTGCTTGGATGTAGATGGATCATAGTCGCAATCCATGTTGAAGTCATCGTCCTCGCAGTGTCCTTCGTAATCCTCATCACCCGTATTTTTGTGCTGCTTGGGATCGTAATTGTCCCAATCTTCCAGAACCAATTCATCAATATCCGAGGGGCATTCTGGTTTCTCCTCGCCCTCATCCACTTTGTAGTAATCGTCGTCGAAGAGCTCCTGCATTCGACGATCATGCGCCGCTGGATCAAAATCCTCATCGAGTTCCTCGTCTCGGAAACCGAGTTCATCGTTGCCAGTAACCGCTTTCAGTTTCCGGATTTTCTCCTCGATTTCCTTGCGTTTCATTTCCTTTATCAGCTCGAGTTCCTTCATCTTTTGCTGCTTCTCCTGATCCTTGCGGTCCTTTAGCTCCTTGCGCTTCTCTTTTCGCTTGTCATCTGTTCGACGAATGGACTGCTCGATTGTACGGGGATAGCGTTTGATAAACTCCGCATCGGGCTCTTCAAACCTGAAATTGTACTTGTGCTCGAACTCCGCCTGCTTCTCGAGCTCCTTTTCGTCCTCGGAAAGTGGGGCAGTTTCTCCCACGATTTCATCATAAGTGGGAATGGCGGATTCATCCGTGTTCGCATATCCTTTGTTGAGGATGTAGTCCCTCAGGAAACTCTCGCCCTGCGTCAGCTTACTGCTAGTCCAGTACTGTTTTAGGGGTTCCAGCTGCTCCTTATCGGTGGGCTGGATCTCCTCCTGCTTTCCTGCTAACCACTTGGCAAAGTCCGCTTCCTCGGCCGCCGTCTGCTCCTTGGTTTTGCTGCGCTTTTTGAATATGCCGCCAAATTCCTCGTCTTCGCCATCGTCCTCCTGGTTCATTACACTCCTGAATTCGGCCTTAAGACGCCGCTCCTCCTCCACGGCCGTGGGTGACTGGGCCCTTTCGAATTCCTCCTGCTCCTTCTCTTGCTGTTCCTCATCCGAACTCTCAAATTTGCCATTGTGCTCCAGGATCACCTTTCTCTCGTAGTCCTTTAAGGTGACTGGCTTGGCTTTCTTCTTCTTTTTGGGGATTCCTTATCCTCCCCCTCTTCATCGCTAGAAGATTCATTAAAGAATCTCGTGTCCTTGTCGTAAATTCGCGGGTCTTTGCTTTTCAGCGACGAGAGCGTCTTAAAAAAGTCTTGGTCAAATTTCGGGTCCACCTCGTCCTCTTCGGAGGAAGAACTGTCGCTATCGAATTCAGATTCGGACACATCTAAGCCACGATCTTTATCTAAAAGTATTGAGTAAGATAATAAATCAAATTAAATTGATCGCGGAATCAAGAGTTGTAAGTTACATTTCTGAAGCAGTTCCTTTTTACGCAGGATGTTGTAGGTCTTTGCATAATCCTTGTTGGTGGACAGCTGTAGATCCTCTCCATCGTCATCGGAGCCCTCGAATAGTTTATTATTCATAACTTTGTTTATTTTCCCGGACGGTTTTATAAATCCCCACACGTGTTGACGTTATAGACCCACTGTTAAATAACAGTGGCTGTTATCGCTAGAGGTGGTACATCTTAAAGAATTATTTTTAAGTAACGGAGTGATTAACATATTACAAATAATTTGTATTTCTTTAGAGTATACATAACACGAAACTACCTTAATATTACAATTTAAACATCCTTAATCCTTTTTAATTAACTTAAGATAATTTATATATATATTTGATGGTTTCCATTTTCATTCAAATAATCTCGTGACTTCTATCGATGTTGTCCCAATAGTTGTGTCATCTTTGGTTCTTTATTTACAATTGGCAATTTCTATCTATCAATTTAAAACTAAGGAATAGAGCTACATTCCATTTAAATGGCAGATACACCAGAATCCCAAGCATCGTTGACTACCTCCTCCTCCACGCCCGCTGATAAGGACGGTTCAAAAAGTGAGAATCAAGCCCATCTTTGTAACACTATCTTTGGATCTGCATTATCACAAGCTTTATGTTATCAGTTTGTATCCTTCTGAACGCCACTGGAAATGTACCCATCATCAAAAAGCGAACGTGGACCGTGGATCCCAATAAAACCGTCAGCTGGATCCAGAAGTTTATCCATAAGTTCCTCAAACTTGATGCCAATGAGCAAATTGTAAGTAGACCAGAAATACTAATGATTCCCTATCTCATTTTAAATCTTAATGTTGCAGTTCCTGTACGTTAATCAGACATTTGCCCCCGCTCCGGATCAGATAATAAAGAACCTTTACGAGTGCCACGGAACCAATGGAAAACTGGTGCTCTACTACTGCAAAAATCAGGCGTGGGGCTAAATCGATATACGCACTTGGCTTGGCTAAATTTAAAGTATTTATTCGACTACTAAGTAATTTGTATATTATTAAATGTGAATAAGCTGATATTGCGAATTCGTTTCACACTTTATTTCCCCCAGAACGGGAGCCTAACAATTGTATTTAAAGAATATTACAAAACTAGTTGTCTCCACGCAGAGCTTCCAGTTCTTCAGCAGCCTCTTTGGAGACCCTGTGGTACTTGGCCACCGAAGGACGGTAGTAGTAGGCCTGGTAGTCGTTGCGCTCGGACATCTTGCGGCGAACTTCATCCTCAAGAAGACTAAAATATATTTGAAGCAGTTAATAACTGGTTTGCTCTTCAATATATCATAGCCTTACCGAATCTGGGCTTTTTCGTTCTCCTCGAAGAGGTAGTGCAGGGATTTTTCATAGTTCTGCTGCTCAGAGTTCAACATGTAGCGGGAAATGAAGCGCGAGATGGGGTGCTATGTAATATAAACAAGAATTAAATTATGAATTGTGGTATCAACTGTTCCTAAAGATGTTAGTATATGCAGTTTTGGGGTATTACTACAGTATAGTATTATTACTTCAAAACTGTACGTTATACGTATACGCCCTCATACCTTCTCGTACTCCCAGTGCTTGGGCTCGTAACCCTCGGGGATCTCCGACAGCTTCGCCGGGCCGATGAAGATGTTTGAGTACAGGATCAAAGCAGTGACTGGAATCACGCCGAGCATTACGTAAAAGTGCATCAGATCCTTGAACTTGTCCCACTGGAAGCGGGAGGGCTTGATGGTCATGTGGTGGTGGCCATGATCGCCTCCCATCCTGCGCAGCTGTTGCTGCAGGGCTAGAAATCCAGAATATTTGGTTGCGTAATGTGGAGTGTGTTTACGGCGAGTTCTGCAAAAAGTTCTCACCATTTCGGCAGGCGGGATCCTGTAAGACAGCACGGTAGTTGGCGAACTTCACCGCCGGCGACAGCAAACGGCTCCAACCGACCATTTTATTGTAGTTTTTCGCAAATCTCACGATATTTTGGAACTGGTCGTGTTAAAGTGGCGAGCAGCACAGCGAACGGTCACACTAAGGAGGTAGCGTTTGTATGTTATTGTATATCGATAACGGTAGGAATGACAGCGTGAATTAATTTAGATGTATTTGGAATGTAAAAAATCATATTACAATTATTTTGAGAATAAATTGTATTAAATCAAAATAATAAAATATTTTCCATAGACTAGTATGATTATCTTTACAGACACATTTGTTTGTTATACCAAATTAATTACAAAAAATCAAAATCGTGACACGAAAAGTATTCACCGAACGCTCATCGCTTCGTGACTCCTCCCAAGTTTGGTCGATTTTGTGCTTTTTTGCAGCACTAATGGGTTCGCCAAACGTTTACCATCACTTTCTTATCCATCGACAAAAACAACGTCTGGCAGTAAAATTAACGAAGATTTTTTTTCCTTACTGATAAAAGGTACTTCCTCGCAACTTGTGATTCACAATCAATGTGTACACATAAAGAAATGTAAAACGAGAGCGAAGTAAAAACCAACAATTACCATTGTGTGAATTGCGATGTTTTTTTGACGCTGATAAAAGTTCGAAGCGTAGTACACAAAAAAGTAAATATCATTAAGAGGAGGCAAGGCAAAATGCGCAGTTTACTTGCAATTATTCCGGTTGTGTGTGAATGTTGGCATTTGTGATTTTCAAAAAGGAACTTGTGCAAGTTTTCCTTTACTCCTGTGTGTGTGTATGTGCGAACAGTGGCGGGACAAAGGAGCCGACTCCCTTTTACAGTGGTGGCTGAAAGGATCAGCATAGTCATGTTTACAGTGGTGGCAAAAAGGAGCTGTATGCTCTTACCAAATTGGTGGTTGAAAGGATGTTCACATAGTAAAATCAAAGTTTTATAATCTTCAATGAAATTTGGCAAACTTTCTTTCACCCTTCAGGGCAGTGCATCCTCCTAAAAGAGACGCTATACTAGTTAATTTTATTTATTAAAAATAAGAGCGAAATAAATATAAAAAAGAAAGGCAAACAACATAATATACTACTATTTTGAATATTAACACTCCATATCAATTCCTTTTTAAGATTGTACCACTCAGTGTTACTTTGCTGTTTGTGTATTTGTATTGAAATTGCGATAAGCATCCTCCGTCGTTCCATTTGGTGTCGCTATCTTTCAGAAAGCAATCCATTTGTCTTGAAACCGCTGGCGTGGCTATTTTAAATGTCCCCACTGTGTGTATACAAGACAAGATGGGCGTGGATGTGGGCGTCTTTCAGGGCCAAGTAACCAAGTTACCACTTCGCCTTAGACTTTGGCCAAATCCATTGAAGTGAATGAATGTGAATCAGCAATGCCATATAACCTGTACTATGTCCAATACAAAGAAATAACAACCCAAACAACAACAAAATGCCAAGAAAACTAGCTGGCTAATGACGTCATCGATAGAGTACTGGCACTGCTGCTTTTGGCTAATTTATTCTCATATTTCAGCCGCACATATACATATATTCTACATGCCAATAATCGAGCCCAACGACTGAGCCACGTCCTGCGTCAACGCGAGAATTCCAATCACATCGAACGGACAAGCACCTGAAGTCTCGAACACCCGTCGACACTCGATAGCAGCCGCCCGCAATGGACGCCCATTCGCGATTCGCCTCGAGATTGCCAGGTAAGTCCGCCGGCCGATCGGCCAAGTTATGCTTTTCGATTCGACTATACTTAGTTTTGATCTTTGGTTTTGTAACTGCTTAGCATTTTGAGCCAGCGATTTGTCTTGTTTGGGCGTTGAAAAAAAGATTCCCAAAACTAAAGAAACTAGTGATTGGTTTTTAACTAAAGTTAGATTTTTACTAATTTTTTATACTGTTACTTCAAAATAAACTTTACACATTCAATTTGAAGCTTAAAGCTGCTTAAAAAAGTTTTTACAGTTGACTATCAGGCTGAGAAAAACTGGCCTAAAATATAAAACAGAAACTAAGCCCACATTTTTTTTTTAATGCCTCCAATCTGTGTTTCAAGTTTTGGGAGTCGTTTCTTTGCGCTGCTTTGTTTTGTTTTCATTACCGTATCGTAGTTTCTTTGAGGGGAGAAGTGCCCTCGTTTGAGAACTAACAGTAATAGCCAGCAATTACGACTAATTTTGTGCCCAGCCCTCGTCCCCCGTCAACCGCCCCCCGCCCTCCGCCTTGCCCAACCAACCCAACCGCCCACTAATCCAACCTCTTTGTTTTTGGTATCAAGTTGCGCTACTAACCCCATTTTCAAACTGTTTAACCCAGCCTATGTGGGCAGCTCACCGTCTCTGTATATATTATACATACATACTCGTACATACCTTGCATTTTTAACAACTATCCAACGTGTTTGCTTGGTTTGCTGTGGATCCTATTTGTTTATTCAACTTTTCGCTAGCTGTGTTTGTTGCCAATGTTTGTTACGAGGTTTGTGTGATCGTGTGTTTGCCCTAGCCTTATTAGCCCTAACCCCTAGCCCTAGTCCTAGCTTAGAGTGTTACCCCTAATCGTCTCTGTTCTGTTCGTTCTGTTGTTCAGTAATCGTCTGCCAATATTATCGAAACCGTAAGACTCTTGATAATCCAATCAGATGCCAACGTACTCATCAAATTAAATTTCTCTGATTCATGTCTATTCACTTACTCAAACTCAATCCGAACTAAACTTGTTGCCTCAGGCCGTCAAAATACTTAACTGAAAGCATTACTTGTAAGATTACGTTTTTGGAATACCAGTCCGCGCCAGGGAAACCTACGAGATTTATAAATGCCTTCCCTTTCGCACCCCAAGGTCCTGCCATCAACCCGATCATCGACAATTCGGACGAGCCTCAGCCCAGTCTCTCCGATCTGCACGACTTCGAGCCGAAGCTAGAGTTTGACGATACCGAGCTGCTGGCCCCATCGCCCCTAGAAAGTAAGTACATAATACGCATAGTGACCCAGAAATTATGTAAATTAGGGTTTTACAAAGAGATAAAAAAGCTAAGCACTGCTATTAAATATTGTACTGTTCAGAAAACAGATATAATTATACTAACTAATTGGTTGTCTAATTTTTCCCACAGAAGATGTTATGGTCGGCGATTTTGTCCTGGCCGATGGTAAGTAGATAATTTCTCTTCTGTTAAGCTTTGAATAATGTTCCTTTATTTGCATAGACCCAGAACTAGAGCCCGAGGAAGATGTAAATCCTCTAGAGGACGATTTCGAGGACCAACTCAGGGAACAGTCCGAGAACTTTCAGGCGCCCAGGAACAAATGCGATTTCCTCGGAACCGACAAGCAAGGTCGTCACATTTTCGGCATTTATGCGTCTCGCTTTCCCGAAAAATCCCAGCTGGAAGGTTTTGTGCGGTAAGACAGACTTTAAATAATATAATTTAAAAATTTCATATATTATCCAATGCATTTTATATCTTCAACAGTGAAATTATCAAAGAGATTGAACCGTTTGTGGAGAACGATTATATTTTGGTGTACTTTCACCAGGGCCTCAAGGAGGATAACAAACCATCCGCACAGTTCCTGTGGAACTCGTACAAGGAGCTGGATCGTAACTTCCGCAAGAACCTGAAGACGCTGTATGTGGTGCATCCGACGTGGTTCATTCGGGTCATTTGGAACTTCTTCAGTCCCTTCATCAGCGACAAGTTCCGCAAGAAGCTAGTCTACATCTCCAGCCTGGACGAGCTGCGCCAGGCGCTCGGTTTGAACAAGCTGAAGCTGCCGGACAACATCTGCGACCTGGACGACAAGTTGAACCCCAGCCGGAAGCCATCGACGCCGCCTCCTAGCAGCAGCACCAGCATAAATGCATCCCGGCAGCAGCAGCACAAAATGGCGACGACGCATCAATTTGGGGTGCCTCTGAAGTTCATCGTGATGAATAGTCCCTGCCTGAACTCCATTCCGCCGATTGTGCGCAAGTGCGTGGACTCGCTGTCCATCACGGGAGTGATCGATACGGAGGGCATATTCCGGCGATCCGGAAACCACTCAGAGATCATGGCGCTCAAGGAGCGCGTCAACCGAGGCGAGGATGTGGATCTGAAGAGCGTAAATGTGCACGTAATTGCCGGCCTGCTGAAGAGTTTCCTGAGGGATCTCGCCGAGCCGCTGCTTACCTTCGAACTGTACGACGATGTGACACGATTCCTGGAGTGGCCCAAGGAGGAGCGTTCGAGGAATGTCACCCAACTGATACGCGAAAAACTGCCCGAGGAAAACTATGAACTGTTCAAGTACATTGTCGAGTTCCTGGTCAGGGTGATGGACTGCGAGGATCTGAACAAGATGACCTCCTCCAACCTGGCCATTGTGTTCGGTCCCAATTTCCTGTGGTCGCGCAGCACCAGCACCTCCCTGGAGGAGATCGCCCCCATCAACGCTTTCGTCGACTTTGTGCTGCAGAACCACAAGGACATCTACTTGATCGACGTCAATCAGCGCACGGTGTCCGTCGATTAACGACTGGCCCCCCACAAACAAGTCCGTAATTGTAAATTGTTTGATTTTAATGTTAGTCCTAAGTGAACCAACGGTTAGCTAAAAAGAGAGCACACACAAAAGGCAGCAGAAACTAGAGCTGAAGGCTGTTTCGTGTATAAAGTGTACTGTAATCCTAAGTTGAATTTTAAACTGTGTGTAAGTGTGGAACTGCTTGTAGCCCCAACTCCACGTCAACTCTTCCCCCAGATCACAATTATTTAGCCCCACTAAGCGCTTAGTACGATTGATTTACCAAAGAAGATTGCCTCTGTTCGTTTTGGCGGCAAACAGAGGATAAATTCAAAATGAGATGTTATTATTATAATATGATTGAACGCACATTCCCCATAACCGAAAACGAATCTTGGTTGCGTTGCCGAATGCACCTGCTGCGCAAAAGTGGAGTTGTGGCGAACTCAAAAACAGTATGTGTAGAATTTTGAATTTCCTTATAGTCATACAAACAATTTTTATAAAATAACGGTATTGTTAAAAATAAAGCAAATGTTAAAACCACAAATCGGGGAATAATTATCAAATTCCTTGTAGAAGTAACTGAATTTATGAATAAATTTTCGGGAATTTAGTAAACTTTTAAATCGAAATCAAAAGCCATTAAAGAAAACTTTTTGTGGACCAAACTTGCGCATAATCGCAAGCGATTTTATTATTATTAATTTTAAAACAAATCGGTCCAGTTTGGAATATTAAATATATCATTAAGGGTCACAAGGAGTCGGTTTAAATGGCTTAAATGTTGATGTTCTTCAGCTTGCGATTCAGATCGTTGAACTTGAGGATTTTACGCACAAAGAAGTCGCCATAACGATGAGATACCTTGGTGTCCGCTATGTGAATCATGTCGTCATCGATGTAGAAGTCCAGCTGAAATATTAACCAAGGATTAGATAACTTTTTCGGAAATATTTTTTTTTAAAACTCACCTCAGAGCCCGACTTAAATGTGCCCTCTAGGCCACTGGGACCCTTGCTCCACACCAGGTTGCGCATTTTGTGCTTGAAGCAAAGCAAACGAATCAGCAGCTTGGACACGTCATCCTCGCTGGCGTTGGGATCGATAAAGGAAGCCAGTTTGGTCAGCGGCAGGGTGGTGTACAGCTTCAGATACGAGCGCGTGGTGGGCAGATCCTTCTGCTGGCGCACCTCATCCATGAACACCAGCAGCTGGTGCTCCATGGGGTCTTTTACGTAATCCTCCATGGGCGCATCGGCGGCAGGCGGGCAGGGGCTCACGAATCGCGGGCAGGCGAACACAAAGAAGGACTTGAACACCTCCAGATCGCCGCACTGCATCTTGAACATGGCGTCGTGGTAGTTCTTCTCCCGCAGCACCTGCTGAATGGATTCGTCGATGCACTGAGGATGCAGAACCAGGCAGATGGCCAGGAGGTGGTACATCTGCTCAGCCTGCTTGTTGATCTGGTCGTTCTGGTACGAACGCGTGCTGTACAGCTGCTTGGTGCGCTGGATGTAGAGCAGGATGTCCGAGAATGTGCGAATGGCATCGGCGTAGCGGCGCATCATCATGTAGGCGAAGCCGACGTAGTAGGATGTGGAAATCTGGCAGGCGGGGATGTGCGAGTATGCGGACTTCTTGTGAATCTCAATGGGTTCCAGCACCTTGATGGCCTGGTAGTAGTCACCCAGCAACGAGTGCACGCGCAGCAAGCCAACGAGAGAGAAGTAGCCCAGCATCTTATAGAACGACAGCTTGCCGAAGTCACCGGCCACGGTCTGGGGATCGACGCCCTGGGAGATGGCCTCCAGCTGCTTCTTGATGTTCGAGATGTCCACCAGGGAGTGCAGCACGTTCAGAATGCAGAGAATGCTCCACACGTTGCTGTGGTTCATGCACAGCTGCTGGATCTCTTCCTGGGACTTGTCCGTAAGGCGGGCACTGCAAAAGGTGTTTGGTTAGCCAAATTTCGAAGGATATATTTATAGTTTTACTTACCGATACTGCGCAAAGTTCTGGAACTGATAAACGAACTCATCAACCAACTCCCACAGCCAGATGTCGGGCAGTTCCAGCATCACCGGGTTCTGGGCCGAGATGATCAGGTTGAAGAAGTCGCAGTAGTTGAAGAACGAGTTGATCCTCTGGTCCAACTTGGGGCCGCCAGGAATGCGGGCATGGATGTGGCGGTAGTAGAGCTCCTTGTACAGAATCAGGAAGACCTTATCGTTGTCCACGATGGCAGCTACCTCCTGCTCCTCGGGCCAGGCGGTCTTGTCAAAGTGGTGGTCGCTGATCTGCGGGAAGGTGTTCTCGTACATGTTCTGGATGTCGTACAAGTTGCCCTCCTTGATCGCCTGGCAGAAGTTGATCAGGAAGTACTTGACGTTGTCCGGCATCCGGGCAGCGTAGTAGTTCCTCTCGTACTCCATGTCCAGCTGCGGATCCCCGGTATGCGCGTAGTCATCGTAGTACTCCTGGAAAATCAAAAAACCCAATGAGTTTTCGTGCGAGGGGTACAAAAGTTGGGTTATGTTGTCGGCGGTGTCTCAGGATTTTCTCCAAAAAAAATTGGACCCTTTCGGAGTTCCGCCACTTACCGAATTGCTTGCGTATTCGTCTCCACCGTACATTGTCGCTGTTTTATCTGGTCCGGTTCTATCGAAGCGAAAAGCCTATCAAATGCTAAAGAATTTGACAACACGCCAACAAAATTTTGGCGAAAAGAGGGAGAAACAGTGTGACCGACTATCGATTAGGCTGCCGTATATCCATGTTTAATACCACTATCGGCTTGGCTATTCTGAAAATAATACAAAAATGTGTGCCACAAAATGGAAACTTGCAGTAAACAGAAACAAGTGATTTCTTAATATTATTAATGGGTTCGAGGTCTATGACTGTTTTTAATAATGACAACGGGAGCCTTTTTTGAATGTGGACTTAAACTTTTGTTTTTAAAGTCTGTACTGAAGAATTGCTGATATTGTATTTTTGTTCCAAACGGAATTCGTTATGAAAAAAATAAGTTTTATTAATTTTCGCAAATTTATACAGAAAGTAGTTGTATTTTTCTTATAAACGAAATTTGTTAAAATTAAAATACCTTTATTAATTTTTGCAAATTCATGGCGAAACTAAAAATCAGAGCAGATATTGTCTATTTGTTATGAAAAAAAATTCGTTATGAAAAAAAATAAGTTTTACTAATTTTCGCAAATTTATACGGAAAGTAATTGCATTTTTCTTATAAACGAAATTTGTTAAAGTTAAAATAACTTTATTAATTTTTGCAAATTAATGGCGAAAGTAAAAATCAGAACAAACGATAGTTTTCTGTTCTAGTATTTTTTTTTTTATGTGACTTGGCTAGCTGAGAGTCCCATGGTAAGTTGACACGTTTGCGCCACGGTCACACTGACAGCGAGACAGAGTGGAGTGTTCGTGTGTCATCCGCGTTAATTATTTTCCTAATTCGAACGAAACTCTTTCGAAGTGGGCGTGATCCGTTGGAGACTAAGTGCAACAGGGTTTTCTGAAAAATTAACAAAATATTGGAGCCCGTTAAAAAAAATAAAGCGGATAGTGCAAAGAAGAATTTCGTACAGCCCTGACGCGTTGCTATAAAACATCAGCTTTTCCCTGAGGTTTTTCCATCTGTAAAGTGCATTTCGTGAAACGTTTCTTGGAAATAAGATAAATGTGTTTATAAATCGGTTTCGCGGAAGTTTATATCAAAAGGCTCCAAGATGAGGCCGCCCAGGAGCTATGCGCAAACAGCATTTTCTTCGCTTCAGTTTGGATTGTTATGCCTCTTATTGCTGGCCAATAACGGCATAAAACCGGTACAAGCAGGTAAAAACGGTGTTTTAAGTTGATTCACCCAAGAATTTAGACGGTTTAAGTTAAATTTTGTAAGAAAACTGTGACATAAAACGTTGATTGTTTGTAAGCCAACATTTTGGGCGTGTTCCCCAAAGCTGAAGACTCGCTCTTGCATTTTCTTTTGCTCAGTGCTTCGCTTTTAACTCGCTCTTTCTGATCGTGAGAGGAAGAGCGGGCCGGAGAGCGATCAAAACGTTGCTTACGGACAGCGGTGGCAAAACAAAAACCTACGCTTAACAACGCCCGTTTTTTACTCGTTCTTTTTTGAATTAGAATTTTTTTGATAATTTTATGGAGCTTCTCAGGGGAACAATTCCAAAGTTTGCCGGCGGCATCTCAGCATTTTTTTCTTATTTATCCGGCTTTTTCAATGCGCATGCGACGGAAAAAGCATCTGCTGATTTAGATGCTGCCGGAACACGTGCTTTTATCAAATCGCTTCCATATGTCAACAGACTTGAAGTATTTTCCCCCTGACTTTCCCCGTTCCATGGAAAATAAACAAACCAAAGATCATATGCAAACATTTTTATGACTAAAAATAAACAATGCCACGCAATTAGTTTGCCACTTTCGCGCCTTGAAGCGTCGAAAGCAGACAGCCGACATATATCCTCAGTCTTTGGTCGATTTCCATAATTTATTTCAGTTCTTATTGCCCCGAAAATAGCATCATTCGCACTTCGAGATTCTTCTGATGGGCGGAAATTGCCTTTCCAGACCTCGTCATATAGTTTTATTGAGAACATTAGACAGATTTTCTGTTCAATTTATTTTTCCATTACCGTTGTGCAACTATGTGGCGGAAAAGTAGTTCAAACTTGCTGCTTCGAAAAGTATTGATTATTTACCTAGAGATTGTCGTGCGTGTTACGCTCTGTTTCTTGTCAGGCTTATCAGGTTGATTTTTCCCACTCCTTCCAAGGCTCAAAGTCAGCTTAAAGTGCTCACGAACTCCGAATGACCTCGCAAGGGTTGTTTTGCCATGCCATCCAGTGTGTTTGAGGAAAGTGGCAGTGTGTTTGCCTAGGAGCTCCTGCTGCACCCATTATAAAACATTTCTTGGGGGTTGCAACAGACAGGGGCAATTGTCTGGATTTCCGACTCGACCTGCCCCCCACATCCGTATTGTCACGGATCCTAGGGGCCAAAGGACTCTCGTCGCCAGCAAATATTATGGTACAAATATGAGACAAGAATCTGCACTGATTTTCACAGTAGAACCTAAATAATTCTTTAAGTAAATTTAACTTACATACTTACATACATAATTATACATTATGGAGCAACATTCATTAGAATTTCTATAAGAATCAATTATTTTGAAGTATAATTATAAAATAATGGCATAAGTAAATAAATATTGCCAAACATTTATCCTTCAGTCTCAGTCTGGACTTAGCTTGTTTACGTTTTTCTTACTGATGTGGCTTTATTTATGGGTCCATAAAAAGAGGCCACTGGAACGATTATGGCCCGAGTGAAGTACTTAAAATTATTGGCCGCCATCCAAACAGATTCTTCGTATCTCAATTTTAATTACGTCCGTGACAGTTTGCGTTCACTTTTTTCCCAACAATGTATAATTGTTTATGGGTCACGGAATCCCGGATATTTATAGATCGATTTTGTTTATTTTTTCAGACGCCTTTACGGATTACTTCTCCGATTATGAGTGCAATCAACCGCTCCTCGAAAGAGCTGTTCTTACAGCAACTTCATCGCTTACAGAACGAGGACCCGACAAAGCTCGATTAAATGGTGAGTCATATTATCGTTAATAATTAAAAATAAATTGTTGTTTATTGTTCAGCTGCTTTTAATTTATTTTATTAGCAATTATTTTTATAAAATTCTGCCTTAAATCTAAGAAATATTTCGTTATTTATTATTGAGTTTGTAGCAAATCAATTAGTAAGAACGACATTGAAATATATTTATGTAGTTTACAATTTTGTGAGTCTTGAAAGTTTTTTGTTTTTTGATTATTTTAGAAATATAAATTAGGCTTTTTATAATTTACATGTTTTTTACTTAGTTTATATAATTTTTATAAAGTTCACAAACTTTAAGATTTGAGAATCGAAATTTAAAACGGGAACACAGCTCAGTATTTTTGTAGTATATTTATGAAGCGTAATCGCTGGGGTATTTATTCTCTTTCCACTTGTGGCCATACTGCCATACAAACAGCGAATGGGCAAAAACATTGCAAAGCGAAAACGCCCAGAAACAATGATTGTAAAGTCAAGTAGATAGTTATAAAATGAGCAAACACATCTGCACCCGCTGGGCTTTTGACCTGGCCAGTTGGAAGCCCACACTTTCTCAACTGAGTCAAGCTGTAGCCCTGATTCAACCGGAAGAGCGTGTCCGCCTCATGAAGTTCCACTTCATCGACGACTTTCTGTCCTCGCTAATTGGTCGACTATTGATGCGAAAGTATGTGAGCACATGCAGTGGATTGGAGCTGCACCAAGTGAAGTTCGCCCGTGATGTTAGAGGAAAGCCCTATTGGGTAAGGGAGGATATCAATGGGCCACCTCTCAGCTTCAATGCCTCGCACCAGGGAAATATGGTGCTCCTGGCCGGGATTATCGGAGAAGCTAACGATCCAGACTTTGGAATCGGCGCCGATGTTATGAAGATCGAGTATAGTGGTGGCAAGTCCCTGGCAGAATTCTTTCGCCTGATGAACAGAAAGTTTTCGGCCCAGGAATGGAAGCATATATGCAGAGTGGAGCATAATGAACGGGAACAAGTGAAGGCCTTCATGCGACACTGGTGTCTGAAGGAGGCCTACGTCAAGGAGCTGGGAGTTGGCATCACAGTGGATCTGGAAAAGATCAGCTTTTCCGTGGACACCACTCACCCGCTGGAGGAGAAGGTCACTCCTTTGGTCGGTACCAGTCTGCGATGCCACGACAAACCCATGGATAACTGGCACTTCGAAGAGCATCTACTGCAGGAGGAGTACTGTGCGGCCATTGCTTTCCGGAACTGTTTGCCTCCCGATCATGGCAGATTCAAATTTCTGCGAATTGAGGAACTTCTGGTAACGAGTCCGGAATCCGAACTGGAGGAAGTGCAAAGCTACTGCCGAAAGGCTCTGCTGAAACCCTATAAGAGATCGCAAAAAAACAAAGAATAGATCGTAGATCCTTAAACAGACTTGTTATCCATAGAATAAACACGCATTTATATTTTTCCAATCGTTTGTGCCCAATTTGGAATAATTTGTAATCCTTGTGTTGTCATGTTGCGCCGCTCACCCCAGGAAAAATCGCTTGTTGTTTGCCTGGCACTGGATAAACAAAGTCTACGAACGAAACGAAGCCGGAAATATGCTTAAAAGGCCATAAACCGAAATTTAGGAACCCGTAATGGGACTCAGACAGGGGCCAGACATTGGTTTTGGTTGAATTTATGCGCCAACAGGATAGCTATCCGCAAGGGTAGCTCTGCTCGGCTCGTTTATTTGAATTATTTTTGGCATTCCCGAAAGTTTTATCGATGGGAACGATGGCTGGCTATGATATGCACGTTGCCAACGTCGCGGACAAAGGAAACTTTAATGCGGAACACAAAAATATTGGGGAATGGGTTTTCCCATAGAGAAATCCCTGCAGTCTGGCCCTTCTCACACTATTTTGTCACACCTGCTTGCAATTTGGCGCGGATTGCAATTAAAACAAAGGCACGCGGTCGCAATTGTTTATGCTCAAGCATTTAAGAGCTCGCCCATTTTGTGTTGACACCAACTCAACCCTCGGGATTACGAAATGCGAAATCCTTTCATTTTTGGCAGGGGGTTGCATTTCGTTTTGAAGGACCTGGACCACTTGCAGCTGTCAATCGGATTCGCCCCTAAATTATGGTTTATTAATTGGAAACACCCTCGGTTTAGGCGATTTAGGCAATTTTGAACTCTAAATTGTACCAATTTTATAGAGCAGGCCTCCCATTGTATCCCCTCCTTTATGTGAATTTTTATGTTGCTTTCGTTTGGTTTTAAATTCATTATTTTCCTTTTATTGCCCATCACCATCCCATCGCCACCATTTGAAAACCCCAGCTGGCACCTCGTGGTCCGCGAAGAACTCGGACTTCGACCAGCGTCTCATTATTGACCTGGGCGTGGTGCGGAACGTGACGCACATCGCCCTCCAAGGACGACCCCATAGCAATGAGTACGTCACCGAGTACACCATTAGCTATGGCATAAGCGATCTAGAGTTTGCCGACTATAAAGAGCCGGGCGGCAATGTCAAGGTAAACAATCGATCTCGAATGAAATTGTGTCTCTAATCCAAACTGAAATGGAATTGCTTGGTGGTTGGTTTGGTTTACTGCACTGGAAAAAATGTATTATACATTCGATATAAAATGTTTGTGTATTCGATTGCATACCATTCATAATTAAATCCCTATCACTATAACATTCTTAAATGGAAAAAGATAATTTTAACTTCTAAATAAACTCTAAAAAAGAATCTAATCTGAAGAACTTTGTCAGCTGATACACTTTTTGCTAAAATAATAAACCAATTAGAAATAATATATTTTTTTCTGAATATTAATAGAAATGTAAACTCTATTTTTATTCAAACATCTAAGTTTTTCTCTTTGTGTGAAACATAATCGTTGGTGGCTGGGTAAATCTTTCATTTGTGAATCGGATTATCATTTCATCAATCCATTTATACAATTGCTTGCTTTTGTGCTTGGTTTTTTATGATTTCTGTATACCTTTATGTCCCGCATGCATCTGTTATTTGTTTGATTACTAGTCCTGTAGAACACTCTGTGTAGATCACATCCAGATCCCTTTCCACACTCTGACACTGTTACTAACTGGTTTGGCTAATGCACCTTGTGCAGGTAACGCTGCTTGGACACCGGTCGAGAATACGTATAACCACTTTCTAACACTCGACCTGGGGGATCCGCGCATGGTGCGTAAGATCGCCACAATGGGACGCATTCACACGGATGAGTTCGTGACGGAGTACATTGTCCAGTATTCGGACGATGGCGAGTTCTGGCGCTCGTTCGTGAATCCCACAAGCGAGCCGCAGGTACTGTGACTAAACCTAGACTAAGACCACAAAACACAACTAAACCTGGCTTGAAAGTTGGCGGGGTATATAAATGCTTTTAATTCTAACTAAGCACTAATCACTATATTCTTTAAATATGTAATTAATAAGTGCTTTAAATTTTATCATAGATGTTCAAGGGAAACTCCGATGGCAACTCTATTCACTACAACGTCTTCGAGGTGCCCATCATCGCCCAGTGGGTGAGGATCAATCCCACGCGGTGGCACGATCGCATTTCCATGCGAGTTGAGCTCTACGGCTGCGATTACAGTGAGTTGTTTAGTCATCAACTGGATTTTCCTGGTGATTAATCAATATACTTGCTTTTGCAGTTGCTGAAAACCTATACTTCAATGGCACTGGCTTGGTGCGCTACGATCTGCGGCGGGAGCCCATTGCCTCCACAAAGGAGTCCATTCGATTCCGTTTCAAGACGGCCTTTGCCAACGGAGTGATGATGTATTCGCGGGGCACCCAGGGCGATTACTACGCCCTGCAGCTTAAGGACAACAAGATGGTGCTGAATCTCGATCTGGGATCGCAGATAATGACCTCGCTGTCGGTGGGCAGTCTGCTGGATGACAATGTTTGGCACGATGTGGTGATCTCCAGGAACCATAGGGATATTATCTTCTCGGTGGACCGTGTAATCGTTCGGGGACGCATTCAAGGCGAGTTCAGCAGGCTGAATCTCAATCGGGATCTGTATATTGGCGGTGTGCCCAATGTCCAGGAGGGCTTGATTGTCCAGCAGAATTTCTCCGGCTGCCTGGAGAATATCTACTTCAATTCCACCAACTTCATTCGAGGAATGAGGGACAGCTACGAGCTGGGCGAGGCATATCTCTTCCAGAAGGTTAACACCATCAACGCGTGTCCATCGCCGCCAATCTATCCGGTGACCTTTACAACCCGCTCGTCATTCGTTCGCCTGAAGGGCTATGAAAACTCCCAGCGCCTCAATGTCTCCTTCTACTTCCGCACCTACGAGGAAACTGGAGTAATGGTGCACCACGACTTTTATTCCGGCGGCTACATCAAGGTCTTCCTAGAGTTTGGCAAAGTTAAGATTGATCTGAAGGCCAAGGACAAGGCGCGCATCATTCTGGACAACTACGACGAAGCGTTCAATGACGGCAAATGGCACTCGTTCGTTATCTCTATCGAAAAGAATCGCTTGATCCTGAACATTGACCAACGGCCGATGACCACAACAAAGAGTCTGCAGATTGCCACTGGAGCACAGTACTACATCGCTGGTGGAAAGGACAAGAACGGATTCGTGGGCTGCATGCGCCTCATTTCGGTGGATGGAAACTACAAGTTACCCCAGGATTGGGTGAAGGGCGAGGAGGTTTGCTGCGGCGACGATGTGGTCGTGGATGCCTGCCAGATGATCGATCGCTGCAATCCGAATCCCTGCCAGCACAAGGGTCTTTGTCACCAGAACTCCAGGGAGTTCTTCTGTGACTGCGCGAACACAGGCTATGCCGGAGCAGTTTGTCATACTTGTGAGTCCTCATAACCGATTACCCATTATGCCTTTGACTTATTGTTTAATGTTGTGTACTCAGCCAACAATCCATTGTCCTGCCTGGCGCTCAAGAATGTGCAGCATGTGCAGCAGCGTGTCAACTTGAACCTCGATGTGGATGGCAGTGGTCCTCTGGAGCCTTTCCCAGTCACCTGCGAGTTCTATTGTAAGTAGATGGGGTTTAATTTTTACTTCTGTGTGAATTTAATGGATCTTTACTATAAAGCATTAAATGAACTACATTTTAAATTTTAAAAATGAAATTTTATATCATTTTTAATTTCCTAAATAAAAGGCCAATTTAGTTTGACAATAAAATAATAAAATATAAAGATATAAAATGAAAATATTGCATTCTACAATTTCAATGTATTCCATATGCTAGTTTGCTTTTTATTATATGCAAAAGTGCTACTGTTTTTATTTGTCTAACCCCTGTACTTCATATTCAAATTAATATTTCATGTCTGCTTGTGTCCAACCAAACTTTCCAACTAAAAAGAAAACTCATCAATCAAATTATGATGGCACAAATAATAAAAACATTGTTTTAACTCCCCGTTTAAAACAAACAAAACGAAGTCTATACTTCAGTTACAATTTGTCACGGTCGAACTAGTTTGCATGTATTCTTTTTTTTTTTTTTTGCATTGTTGACATTGATTGATTATTTTTATTTAATATTTCTGCAGCGGATGGTCGTGTGATTACCACCCTCAGCCACAGCCAGGAGCACACCACAACGGTGGATGGCTTCCAGGAACCGGGCTCCTTTGAGCAGTCCATCATGTACGATGCCAATCAACTGCAAATCGAAGCTCTGCTGAATCGCTCCCACAGCTGCTGGCAGCGCCTCAGCTACTCCTGTCGCTCCTCCAGACTCTTCAACTCGCCATGTGTGTATTAATGGATATTCGCAGATTAAATCAGTATTATATTGACATTTTTTATCCAGCTGAGGCAGGAAACTTCCGTCCGTTTTCGTGGTGGATCTCCCGCCACAACCAACCCATGGACTATTGGGCTGGAGCTCTTCCCGGATCGCGTAAGTGCGAGTGTGGAATCCTGGGCAAGTGTCACGATCCCACAAAGTGGTGCAACTGCGACACAAACAGTCTCGAGTGGATGGAGGATGGTGGCGATATCCGGGAGAAGGAGTACCTTCCTGTGCGCGCTGTGAAGTTCGGCGACACTGGAACGCCGTTGGACGAGAAAATGGGTCGCTATACTCTGGGACCACTGCGCTGCGAGGGTGATGACCTGTTCAGCAACGTGGTGACTTTCCGCATTGCCGATGCCTCCATTAACTTGCCACCCTTCGATATGGGTCACTCTGGCGATATTTACCTGGAGTTCCGCACCACGCAGGAGAACTCTGTGCTGTTCCATGCCACTGGACCCACGGACTACATTAAGCTGAGTCTGATTGGCGGCAACAAGCTGCAGTTCCAATACCAGGCGGGCAGTGGTCCACTGGGCGTTAATGTGGGCACCAGTTATCACCTGAACGACAACAACTGGCACACCGTGAGTGTGGAGCGCAACAGAAAGGAAGCTCGTCTGGTGGTGGATGGATCCATCAAGGCCGAGGTTCGAGAGCCACCAGGTCCAGTGCGTGCTCTTCACTTAACCTCGGATCTAGTGATTGGCGCCACCACCGAATATCGCGATGGTTATGTGGGCTGCATCCGAGCTTTGTTGCTCAACGGAAAGATGGTTGACTTGAAGGATTACTCCAAGCGTGGATTGTACGGCATCAGCACCGGTTGCGTGGGTCGTTGCGAGTCGAATCCTTGCCTGAACAATGGCACTTGCATCGAGCGTTACGATGGCTACAACTGCGATTGCCGTTGGAGCGCCTTCAAGGGACGCATTTGCGCAGATGGTTCGTAATTGCAAATAGCCATTGTATTGTATCTTATTTAATTTGCATTTGATTATTGCAGAGATTGGTGTCAACTTACGCTCCAGTTCGATTATTCGCTACGAGTTCGAGGGCTCCTTCCGCTCCACCATTGCCGAGAATATTCGCGTTGGCTTCACCACCACCATTCCCAAGGGTTTCCTGCTTGGCTTCTCTTCCAATTTAACTGGCGAATATCTGACCATTCAGATATCGAATTCTGGTAAATTGCTTTAAACACTGTTGCATTAAATGAACTTTACTTATACTTTTTTGTTTGCAGGTCACTTGCGTTGCGTATTTGACTTTGGCTTTGAGCGACAGGAAATCATATTCCCGAAAAAACATTTTGGTCTGGGTCAGTACCACGACATGCACTTCATGCGCAAAAACGGTGGATCCACGGTGGTCTTGAAGGTCGACAACTATGAGCCGGTGGAGTACAACTTTGATATTAAGGCCTCAGCGGATGCTCAGTTCAACAACATTCAGTACATGTACATTGGCAAAAATGAGTCAATGACAGATGGCTTCGTGGGTTGTGTGTCGCGAGTCCAGTTCGATGACATTTACCCACTGAAGTTGATGTTCCAGCAGAATCCACCCAAGAATGTCAAGTCGTTGGGCAGTGAGTATTAAATTAAGGAAAGGCTTAAGAAGTTATATTAATTAATCTCATATGTTACAGCTCAATTGACGGAAGATTTCTGCGGAGTTGAGCCAGTGACGCATCCGCCTATTGAAATCGAGACTAGGCCACCACCTTTAGTGGATGAGGAGAAGCTGCGCAAGGCATACAACGAAGTAGACTCTGTGCTGCTGGCATGTAAGTGTAATCGGTTTCCTCCGCTTGAGACAAACTATTTATCTAAAATGTTATTTCAGGTCTGCTGGTGATTCTCTTCCTGCTGCTGATCCTTATGTTCTTCCTTATCGGTCGCTACTTGCACCGGCACAAAGGCGACTATCTGACGCACGAGGATCAAGGCGCCGATGGAGCCGACGATCCCGACGATGCTGTCCTGCACTCAACTACTGGCCACCAAGTCAGGAAGCGAACAGAGATCTTCATCTAAGCCTGTCGCAATATATGCACACAAATCGTTTTTAAATCGCCTAAGACACGCAACAGCGACGATTCACACTCACCAAAAACAAAAAAAAAAATTATAAAATGGAAAATCAAATGAACACGGAAAAGTCTCACATTACAGACAGAGAATATTTAAGAACTTTTCCATGCACTGCCAATTGTTTTGCGCAGATGATCGCTAAATTATTGATTTCAAATTGGTTGGTTGAATTTTTTGTATTATTTGGTTCTGTCTGACGGCATTTCACCTTATAATTTTTGTAAACCTTAATAGTCACAGAATACCGTCCATTTTTAGTTAATTTTATGAACACTTTTTGTTTGCGAAATTAAGTTAAAAACTTATTTTAGGCTGCTTCCAGAGCAGTTGACCGAAACCGCCAATAATTTGTACTTTTATCGCGCGAGTGCATACAACAAACATTCCATTAATATTAATATGTTTCTCTCGCTATACGTTTAATTTAAAATGTCTTCTAATTTACACACAAGAGAACCCGATAATTATTCTGTGGCTAAATAAAATCGGCTACTTTAGAAACACAAAGCATTAAAAACAAATTGTATTTTTGGAAAATACATTTTGAACGTCTTGACTTGAAATTTGCAAATATACATTAGTATGTGTATATAGATATATATAGCTCTATACAAATATATATAATTACGAAAAAGAGACAATGAGAAATTAAAATTTTTATCTTTCAATAAAAGAAAACTACGAATACTTGAAAATGTTGTGTTTGACTCACCGTTCTGGAGCTCTAAGGAAACTACTGGATATTCAGTCTCTTAAAGTTTATTCAATATAATTTTGTATACTAAAATATATATGTGTATAAGTATAGGCTATTCCAAGTATTAATATTTGCATGTTTTTGATTTCTTCATGTAAAGTTAATCGTAACAATATAGTATAACGCTAATTTTGATTACTACGGTTTCGGTTTTTTTTTTCTCTATTTGTTGTTATTTTGTCTGTGGTTCCTCTACTAGATGTACTGGAATATTTTTTGGTTTGTCGTGGCGAACATGTATAATATTGTTATTATCTAACAACAGTCTAAGTCACGTGTAACTTGTTAAGGTAGTATAACACTGGGTGGGTCTGTGCTTCCACAATCCGTAATTAATATTAAGTATTCGCATCGTTGTTCCATAACTAATCTACTGATGTATGCACGTCTGTAATAACTGTTTATCGTTGTATCTAATGGGGATGATACCCATCTAATCGCTTAGTCCTGGGACTCCCAGCACCGGTTTTACTACATTGTACCTAAGGTCAACTATGGGTTAATGATAATGCACTTAACATCGGTCAACGGTTCTAAATGGAAGATTACAGTTTGTTGTATTGATTATGTACCGTGGTTAGTTGATAATTACGCTTATCGATATGCTCGTCGTTTAACTCATCTCTCATCTTCTCAACCGAAACAAAAACTATCACAAACGTTAAATGAAAATAGAAAATACTACAGGAATACAGGATATTCCGCACTTACAGCCGTCAAGTGCCGCTATTGTCCACCCACAATCCATTCAGTACCAGAAGCTATCGCCATCGCCTTCAGTTGTGCACATTTCCGCTGGCCAGCATCCGGTAGCGATTCAAGAGCTGCACCGCCGCATCCTGCATGGGCACAATCTTTCCGTACCGCTCCTCGTAGACCTTCAGCATGATCCGCTCTCACAAAACAGTGCAGATTACGAAGAGCAACGACACCAGGCACAACATGGCCACAATGTCCCGGTAGAGATTGCGATCGCGGTAGAATGGCCGTGTGCAGTAGCTCTCGCGACGGGTCTGCCGGAGCAGCCAGACCGGGACGAAGAGCTGGAGGAGATCCGGAATCATGAATCCAATATCCCGCACTATCTGGTGGGCGTAGCCCTCGCCGCGCACCACATTCATGAAAAATTGGTCGAAGCTGCTGGCCAGAATGTGCAGCAATGCGATGCCCACAATGCAGAAAACCTTTTTCGGGGTGACCACGTTTGTGGTGTTGGCCAAGTGCATCACCAGAACCGTTGAGAATAATTCGGTTATCTGAAAAATAATATTTATTATAACATTTACATAGTTAGTACTGGATCTCTTAAATAGGCAGGTACGAAAATATCTCTAGTAGGTCAAAATAAAAATAATAATTATTTATATATTTTAAATTGCCGAAACTACTTTCTTTAGAATATAGAACATTTTGTGGGCTTAAACTGTGCCTATAAAAATTTCAATCTATAATGCAATTATAGCTCAATAATTTATATTTTTATTACTAATTATAAAATTTAAAAAAATTAATTGTGAGGGAAACCATTTGTAATATCTAAAAGTAAATCAAGGAATATTTAAAGAGTTCAAAGCAAAGTATGTACTTTATTTTGGCTGCTAAGGTTACCGAACCCATATATTTATTCTTTATATATAAAAATATTCAAATTGTGCGCTGACCACACTCGTGTAATTTTAGCTAAAGGCCCTTTTTAATTTCCACTTTTTAGGTCAGCCCACTGGCGAAACGCTCATTAGCAGGGATAAACTTTTAAGTTTAAACTTTGGCTGGATGGATGGATTTGCTCTTGAAACTTATTACTTAGCCGTGCTTCTATTTCCATGAATAGCTATCCAGCTATCTGCTGGAATGGATGGATTTGGATGGTGAATGGTGGTCTAGTGCGGGACAAGTGCGAAAATTCAACTAAAATTGAACGGGAAAGTGTTCGAATTGGAGCGCATATTGTGCAAGTTTGGAGCGCACTCGCGCAGGACGAACTTTGCCAATAAATTATGGATGACCGGTAGCAGGCTTAGGACACATATGATGGCACGTAGATGGGTTATTTGACATTGACTTCTGATTTGTAGTTGCCACCTGAATTGTACACAGAAAAAAAATCAAAAAAAAAAATTCAAAAAAATGTTGAAAACTTGGGATTCTCAGTAAACCAATACATAATATCATATATTGTTAAGCATGAATTTAAAATCCAAACTAAATAGTATCACGTTCTATATCGAATTGTAATTTAATCTCTTGTTGGTGATTTACTTTACTATTCACCTTGCTTGCTGTATTTTTCCGCAGTGTACTCGATTACAACTTACCGTGAAAAAGAGCTGGTGGTTCCACTGGTTGTAGTAGTCGTCGTTGTAGTAGTTGATGTACGCCCACCAGGCGTAGTAGTGCGAGAATATCGAGAGCAGGAACAGCAGGAGCATCGAGTACCGCACGCGCTGCTGCAGGATCAGGGCGATTAGCCTCTTGATGCACTCGTACAGGGCAATCACGGCGAACACTGTCAGAATCCACATCTTGAAGCTGTTGGGCGTGGCATTGAAGTACATGTGCTTGTAGGCGGCCACGCCCGACTCGTAGGGTCCCTTGAAGACGGTGTCCCAGCACGAGCAGGTGCAGAAGTGCCTGTCCACGTACCTGGCGTAGTTCTCCCAGAAGTACCACAGGATGACGATGTGGGCCGGCGGAATTAGAGCCGGAGCCAGGGATCCGCAGGCGGTGGGCAGCCAGGTGATGTCGAACATTTCGCAAATACTGATAAGGCTAACTGGCTAATGATATGTCCTCAGCTGGTTTCGTTTTTCAATCCCTTCTTTAAGCTTAAAGCTGGCTGGTCATCACATTTATGACTAAATTACGAGAAAATATATTTTCTATGTTTAAAAAATGTTGTAAAGAATTAATTTTCGAAAAATGTGAGGTTGCTGGATGTGAATGAACTAGATTTGTTGTTATTAATAATACTTTCTTATAATATTTTCTTATAGTATTTAAAAACACATCCGTAAATGGAATCCTTTTCTTAAATTTTATTTGTTTGTTTTATTAGCAACTCACTTTTAAGGTATAGTAAACAATCAAGTCATTTACACATCCGTAACCGTCAGGAAAAATATTTCAATCGGAAGTTGTCTAGCACTTTGTAATTCCTCAATTATATGTCGCCATAAATCAAGAAAATTATTCCTATTAACATCTCCCTTAACTCTCATTTTAGATAAGCAAATTGACGGGGTTTTCCACTGAAATGGACAATGCATTGTCGATTTAATGTATTCACCATTCACCATTGACATACATGTGAATTCGGTATTAATTAATCAAATTGTTCCAAGTCATATAATTCGAAATCAACTTTAATTGAATGACTATATTTCTGTTAACGTTCGAATTATGCAAATTTGTTTGATTTAAACATTAAACATTTCAATTAGTATTTACTGAATTCAATAAATTGTATATGTGCATTGTAGAATGTGGATCCAAGATTTTGCACCAAACAAAATATTTAATAGACATTAAAGGCGAATTTTTGCCCAGCAAAAGTATACTTTAAATTGATAAACACTGAGAAAATATACAATTAAGGAAATGTTTGTGCGATTGGTATTCGCGTATTTATAAAGATTTCAATATTTGGCGTTCGGTCAGTGTGTTATTTCTGTTTTGCATAGTTATGAAAATAAACAAAAAGAGGTGCCCAGAAAACAGAAAATATATTCCGCCCTCTTGGCAGTGCGATGCATTGCATTGGTGTGCTTTTTTAAATTATCCCAGAGAAGGCCTGCCAGTTGACGCATTGCCATTGCATTGCCATGGCTCTTCGTGGATTCACATTCGAAATTTGCATGCAACGGCGGCGAGTGCAACTGCAGTTGCAGTCGCCAAGTGACCGACTGAATGACATCCTCGGGTACTTGTGTTCCCAAAAATGATGCAATTATGAATTCATGTGCTGCAGGGGCGCTCAAAAGGGGCAAAGGAACAGGGTTCTACGCACAGTGAATGGCATTCCACGTGCTGCAACGGCTGCCAAAAAATCAAAAGCCAAAGCGAGCGGTCATTAGTGCGGACACGGAGCCAGCCCCTCTCAATGGGATTCTAAATGGGAACGGGAATGGGATTTGGAAATGGGAATGGTAATAGGAATGGGCCTGGTATGGGAAAGCCAGCCGCTGCAATTGAGACAACAATGAGAGGTACTAGCAAACAGAGGTGATAGTTCTCCAAACTGAAATCTTGTATACCCTTTCTTGCTAATAATCTCCTAAGAAATTGAAGATCTTATATACGTAGTTTATTATTTAAATAAGGTTACTATTATAGGAAATTATAGATTAGGTAATTCCAAGACCTTTTATAGATTTATTTCTTTATAATTTAAATAAGTTTACTATTTACACAGGAAATTATAGATTACGTCAACGTAATTCAAAGACCATTTATAGATTTATTTCTTTGCACAACTATTAGTACTAACTCCATGTTTATGAGTGTTAAATATTTTCAATTTAAAAAATAAATGCCTGTAAATATCTTTAAGAACATTTAGTAACTCGACCTATGAAAAGTTTTAAAAAAATGTATGTTCATCGAATTAATTGTCAATATATATTTCATTTCATTATTCTCTTTACATTTTTTTTATCATTAATTAAACGATTCGATTGACAATTTGTAAGCCCTTGTAAGAATGGCAAATCCCCTTGTTGCTTCTGCAATCCATAGCTAAAAATAATAAACCCTCGGAAAGGGTACAAAAAGTAAAAGTGCTACTCGAGTGAGTTCTGTGCGCGGCTGTTCTTCAACTTAATTAATACATCGCCCTGCGATGCGCAGCTGCCAGTGAAAAACTATTTCGATTTGTTTTGATTGCCTCCGCTGTTTGGGGGGCTCCTGACTTGCTTTTGTTGCGCCACATCGCCCTATAAAAACCCGGCCAAGCCAAACCAAACCAAACTGAAACTGAAAGCCAAATGGAAGCGACCGTTTACAATTGACGTCACGGCGGAAATCAGGAGCATTGTATTGAAAACTTAGCTGAGCATAAGAGTGAGTTCACTGCAGCATACAATATGAATTTCAAATTGGGAACGGAACATTGTAAATATGGCATAAACAATAAAACCCGGAACTTTCCGCAGCTGGAACCGAATTTATGCGGGACTGCGGGACAACTCCTCGAAATGACCCGCAAATGTGTCAGAAAACTGAATAAATGTGTGTGGATGAGGACCTTAATTTGTCAAAGGTGCGAACTCATGCGGAAGGAGACAACTTTCAATTCCTATTATATCAATCTCTCTGGTCGTATTTGGGTCACAAAAGGGACAGGACTTTAAATTTAATGTATTCCGTGGCAAGACAAATTCATGCTTCAATATGCAATAATCTGTGACAAACTTTTTTGTAGCTCTGTTCCTTCACAGGAGTATTTTTTTCGAAAAGTAATTTCATTTTGATTTTGTCAAATTGGGAATGTATCAAATATCAGAGGGGGAGTAAAAACGTTTGGTATTTAAATTTAACTTGTGTTCTAGCTTTAGATTTTACCAAAGAAAACGTATGGTATTGATTAAAGAAATTTGAATATTAAATGTGAATCTATGGCACTGTTTCTAAAATATTTCTGATATCTTTTAGGTTTAGCTTTTACCAATGAAAATGTCTAGTATGGATTAAAGAAATTTGCAAAATTAAATGTGAATCTATGGCACTGTTTCTTAAATATTTATGGTACTATCCTTGAATATATAAACAAAGCTCTTTTACAAAAATTCCCTTTACACATTGATTCAATGATTGGCTGCAATACTTGCTTGCTGGGAGTTTCCAGATTTCGTAACGAATTTAGGACGACAAAAGCTATGATTCACCTTTGCACTTTAAACCCCTGGAAGTGCTTTTCCTTTGAGCCTCCTACGCCTGACTGCAAAAAATCAAACACTTTCTATTCCGGGCGAGTATTATCCCGGATAGTTGCCCCCTTTGAAATCGCGTGCACAAATTCACATTTCTCTCAATGGCTGTGTGTAAACAACACCTCAGGCTATGGAAACAACAAGCGTTTCAACTGAAAGTCGGTGTGGTGGGCGACGGTAAAGCTGTCAACAGTCGTCGCGTCGTCACTTGAGCCGGCATTGTTGTACAAGTATTTGTCGCACGGGCATCGCGTCGTATGAGTAATGTGGGTGTGAGGAGTGAAAAAAGCGAAATGGTGGCGGTGGCGGGGGTGGGAAAAACGGGGAGGGGGTCGGGAAATACCACCCACCCGCCAGGCAAGCCGTCTATGCAGTCGAGTGGCGTTCTTTGCATGCTCATTTGTGTCCCTTTCAATTGTCATTCGGGGCCGCTGTTGATGTTTTTCTTGTTGGCATTTGTTGGAGTGCGCCAGACACTTTGTCTGCTAGTCTCGAGCAAGTTGTAAGAGCCATGGAAATGTGGCTCCTAAACTTGAGAATAAATTTGAGGCACACGACCCTAATAGCCGTTGCAATAGCAGGTGATAAACGAACTAGTGAGGAGCATTGCATGCGGGGAAGCCGAATGCTTCAGGCACGCAACACTCAAACTTCCCTTCGTATCTAGGTGGATACATAAACACATGAGCTTCGACGAGCGATTTAATGGTGTTTACATGCAGAGAAACAAGTTTTATAAACAATTTCGTATTCAGTGTAATTAAATTAATTTGTAAGTACTATTTGTTTAAGTTGTAACAAGCTAAATACAAGGAAATTAAATTGGACTTTAGTATTGATGCTCTGAATAATTTAGACTTATTAGGAAACAAAAATAAATTAAAGTTCTTATAAGCCAATGTGTTTAATTCCATATTTAGATTTTTAAAAATGTTTTTTTAAGAGTTTTTGTTGTATTTTTTATACTTTATAAATTGGGAAATATCTTTCATAAAAGGCAGACTGTTAATAAATTATTTTCTCTCAAAATATCTAGTTATTTCTTTGTTTAAATACTAATTTTTTGCAGTGCACAATAGTAAGGGAGTGTGCTGCCCTGTAACGATGTGGGTGGCTAGCTTTGCACTGAGATAAATCACAAGCAATAACACTGCCTGCTCGACGTTTGTTTAGTCAATATTTATTCGGGCTAAGGCACAAGCACACATACTGGGAATTAGACCGAATTAAATGGAATTGCTCCAATTGCAATTGCACACAGATTAAACACAACGAAAATCAGAGCCCCGCTGGCACTTTTCTTTCCGTAAAAATGTTGGAAAATCGAAATAAAATTTAGGAAAAGCGTCGGGAATGGGTACATAAAAGCAAACCGAACCTAATGCGGGAGTTCCTTGGGCTGGGTTCACCGGGATGCTGGTACTCGTTATCCTCTTACTCTGCCGGCTTTTTCGATTTCCTCACTTCACAGGTCCGTGGGCAGTTGTTCAATATCTGCGATATGTGTATGCGATAAACACAGATTTGTTTAAACAGATTTGATGCTTTAGTTTTTGGTTCGGAAAAAGAGGAAACTTTGTTGGAACAACAACCGCGGGCAGGTCGTGAAAAACGCGACTGAAATTATTGTTATGCTGCGTGTGAAATTTTGCTCTTGTCTTTGCAGCCGGCGCCGGCGTCGTTGTCTGGCGAATGTTTCCTAACAACAAAATAGGGGGAAAGCTCTCAGCTGACGAGAGGCTACCATGTATCAGTGGGTGCCACACTCATGGCGCGCACTGTAGCCGGCTCTCTCTCGCCTGCGCTCTCTCGGTCGAAAAGGTGCGCTGAAAATAACGGGAAATGCATGCGGCTTCCTCAGTGGCATATTAAGTATACGCAGCGTAACCGCTCATTGCATTATCAGCGTCCAGCAAAAAAGCACTGGACTCACGTGGATCCTTCATTTCTCCATTCATACAAACTCAGAGAATATATACATATATATATTATATTTATTTACTTTTTATACTTACCCAGTCAGAACTATTTTCCTTTGCACCTGTTGGCAGCGGGCTTCCCATTGTTTACGTTTACTCTTAAAAACACACTTTCTGCTGTTAGCTTAAAGTTTTCACACATTTATTTCGAGTTGCTTGGTTTTCAACATTACCGCCATAACATAAACATAAGTACTTGTCAAACAATTACTGAGCTAAACTAATTTAAATAGAAGCTGCTTAAGTGAAACACACACAATGCACACTCAAGATTGCTGTCAAAGTGCATTTTAAATATGCTAATTAAATGGTTTTTCCCCGCTTTTCTCATTGTTTTTCCCCCTTCTTCTTCTTTTTCTTCTACTTGTTTTTGTGGTTTTTTCTGCAATTCCATTTTGAGCACAGTTACAAACAGCAGTGTCCATTGTTCGTTCACGTAGTGAAGGAAATATATAATTTTGTCGCAACAATGGCTTAAATTTGTGTTCTAGTAATTAAAATGCTGGCCGAGACTTATTCATCTGGCGCTACCATTGTTTTATAGCCCATTGTGGCCATACATTACCCGATCTACTCGTACATGTACATATATAAAATGATACGGCTAAGTAAGTATCAAGAGTATAAATTCGTTACATATTTTTGGCTTAGTTACAATGCTTCCCTCTCTTTATATTATGTTATCCTTACAGGTACAAGTACTCGTCGTTGACTTTATCAAAGTCGTTTGCCTACTTAGGTTTAAGAGTAGACATTGTATACAATCTATTATAATACCTATAAGATACACAGAGCCAACGGATTAGACATCGATATACACAAACGCAATTTGTTTAATTTGTCGTGATTTTACAAAACTTCCTTGTCGGCTGTCATCACAATCGAATTGAAATTCAAGAAGCCCACAATCGATTTCGATTGTATTCCCCCAAAGTTAAACTACAATACAAATAATCCGCAAATCCGCTTGTTAGCATTTAAAGCCCGCGGCGTGTCCTTGATTTCAAGTGACTTACCCTGGAATTATGTATTATTGAGGTCCACCCACTCTTTGTACTAATTTGGACCTTGCCTTGACCTCCACACATAATAGGCCTCACATATTTATCGACTGTGGACACTCAGACACTTCTGTGCTCCTCTTGCTGTCTAAACATCACATAAGCTCATTAAATATGTTTAATATCACCACTGTGGTTGCTACTACTGTTCCTTGCCAATTTCCCACATTTCCCACTGCTCGGCGGATTTCCCTGCTTCACTTCTGTTTATTATTTTGATTTCAATTGTAGGTCCATCAATGACATTGCATTCAGCACAGTGAACAATGCCATTGGCTTTCATTATTGGAGAGGGAAATTACTTTGCGTTTGTCCCGCTCTTAGTTGGTACTATTATTTCCACACATAAGTGAGATTAGTCCAACAATGATGTCTGCATTGCCTTGGAAACTTGAGACGATCCATACCAATTTTGATTAGCCGTCTTTCAATCAGACTAAATAAGACTGCGAGCATTGACAGATTTAACTAGGATAAACTTTAGTGTACAACAAAGAAATGTCTATACTTGAGAAAAAGTTTATTTCGCCGAAAGGATTGAACTAATTAGAACTAAATTAATAAAGTTTGTGTTCGCTGATTTAATTTGTGGGGCAGAAAAAGAAACTTGTATATCTTTTAAGCAATTTTATATATAAATATTTGGTTGCAAATAAGGAAAGTTTGTACATATATACATGATATTCTAAAAAACAATTATTTTAAAAGGATATTTTTTCGGAGTTCTAACTAAATAGATTTACATTGCTGTCTTATTTTTTTTTTTTGGTGAAGCCACTTTTTATGTTTTTTTTTCTTTATAAGAATACATAAAATTAAGCTCGTTAAAAATGGAGTTTAACCACATTGAATGAAATTTATATATCTTACTTCAACTTGATTCATGAAATCCTCTTTTTTATATCATTACAGATTTAAGTGCCTTCCTAGAACTTACTCTGTTCCATGGCACTGCTTACCGAATGGTTGATCTCTGCCACCACGACGATCTCCTCGTTCTCCTCCGTTTCCTCGGGCACCATCATCAGGTTGTTGTTCATCAGGTAGTTCTCCATCCGGTGATCCCCCATTCCCCCATCTCCAGTGTTGCTGCTTCGCAATCGGTGGGTGAACGAGGACCGGGATCGGGTCATGTAGGAGGATCTGGTGGTGGAGACCCTTCGTAGGACCCCTCGACCATAGAACAGAATTCGAACCTCGACGCGAAACCGCGGATGGGTGGCTGCATACAAGTAGGGATCCACGCAGGCGGCTGTTTTGCAGAAAAGCGCCGGAATCATCGAACCCAACGGGGTTATGTGCCGCTCCTGGCCAAAAACGCCCATCATGGCCACGATGGCGTACGGCGACCAGGCCAAAAACCATAAGCCAATTATGGCCGCCACTATGAACGCCAGCTTCTGCTCCGTTTTGGCCTTGTCCTTGTTCGACTGAATCCGACTGGCGGTGAAAACCACTTTCAAGATGTAGAAGTAGGAGTACACAATCGCGGTCAGCGGAATGCAGTAGGCCGCCACGAAGAACAGGGCCATAAATATCCGGGCGGGCGTCTCCTTGTTCAGATAGTCGAAGCTGCAGGTGGTCAGAAATCCCTCCGGCACATACACCGACAGTCCAATGTCCAGTGCCGGCATCACGGCGAACAGGAAGCTGTAGCACCAGATCAGCAGGATAATCAGGTAGGAGCGCAGGCGGGAACAGCGCCTGAGAGGCTGCAGTGGATGCACCACCACGTTGTACCGATCCAGTGCGATGGCGGTGAGTGTTCCGATGGCACAGGTGCCACTCAGCCCGCCCACAAATCCGTACAGGCGACAGGCTGCGGGCGGAAAGTCGGTTAGTTTTTTCGGCCAACCTCAATTTTAAGTCGCAACCCAAACAAAAAAAGGTCTTTGTAAAGCAAGCTCCATGTCAACAGAAACTTTGGCTCTTTAAGCATAAAGTGACGGCTTTCAACTTTTGCTATTGCTCTTTGAAATGTCTGACGATTTAATCTTAAAGTTTTACAAGGATAACAAAAATGTTTAACGATGCGGATGCAACTACACTTAAAAATGTATTAACCTTCATTTGGGCACTTTTGTAAGTATTACTAAAAGCTTTAATCGATAAGGAAATATATTTTAATACAAATTTAAGTGCTTTTAAATTATTAAAAATTTAGAGTAAATGCTTTACTAAGAAATACATTTTAAAATATGCACACCAGTTTTATTTATTCTCTAAGAGTCTTTCCGATTGTCTTGCTTAAATATTTGTTTAGTTAAAAGCTTCTCACAGACGTTCATTTGAATTTTTATAGCTATAATATATTTTCTCATTTATTATTTTTATTTACTCACCAACATCTCCCAGAGCTGGTCCCTCCTTGATATTGTTGTATATGGCAATCGGACATTTGATGAGCATCAGAAAGTCGCAGATGGCCAGGTTCATCACCAGAATGTTGGCCGGGGTCCTCAGCGACTTGCGGTTGGCGAACATAAAGATGACGAAGGCATTGCCCACGCATCCCACCACGGAAATAATGCAATACAGGGCGGCCATCACGAAAAATGTACTCGACTTGGGCGGCTCGAACTGCAGCCAAAAGGGATTCACTTTCGCTATATAGCTCAGATCGTATTTGTCCCGGTAGTGGATGTAGCTGGGATATGAACTCAAATTGCTGAAAATGTATTAGAAAAATAACTCTTGGGAATAATATAATTTTTAAAAATATAATATATAATTCTAAAATATAATTTTTAAAAATATTTTATACGTTTTGCCTTCGATTGCTTAAATTTGTATTTTTTTAAATGCTTTAAATGAAAGTTTGAGAATAAGAAAAGTTTTCACATATTTTTTTTTTAACAACCGATTGAACATTTAACTATGCTTTGAATTTATTGAGTTTCTATTCAAGCTGAACTTTTCTAGGTAAAGCAATAAACAGTTCAGTTCAGTTAAATTGGATATTTAACCAATAGAAATAATCTTAAAGTAGCTTTTACTGCAAGCTCTCCTTATATACAAGTAATCTGAGGATTAGCCCCTGGCAGTTAACTACTTATGCATATGTTATTCAAAGGCATTTCAAACATATGCATTCAGCTAATTGAATGCGGGTCCTAGAAAATTAAGCCGAGCTTATCGCGATGGCTTCTTGGAAAACACGCAAATGTGTGTTATCCTGGCAAGTGGATATGCACAGGATCTCCTCCCCTTACCTTAGTCCCGTAGAGACGCTGTCGTTCACGTGCTTGTCATGGTCCTTGGCCACATTCACCGCGGTGGATCCAGCCGATGGATTCCCCGTTGCGGAGGATGTGTTGCCAGTTGGTCCGTGGCTCGAGTTGGCCAAAATCTCGGAGAGCGATAGGGCTCCGGTTAGCCAAAAGCTGCTGCTGTCACCAGCAGCATCCGCTGTCAGGTTGGGCAGGGTCGTCATCATGATGGCCTCCATGTCTGGTCTGGTCTGGTCTGGTTGCAGGCCAGAAATTTACGAGCTCATCCAAACAGGACCTGGACGAGGATTTGGATTTGGAACGTGCCCGCAACGGTGGACGCGAGAATGACGCTTATTTACTCGCCAGCTGCCCAAGTGCCGCATTTGGCAAGGATGCCGCGTGTCGCGTGTCGCCGCCACAAGGATTCCTTCGCTGGTGCGGATCCGAATGCTGGTAGTGGTGGTGGTGGTGGTGGTGTTGGTAGTGGTAGTGGTAGTGGTGATGCTGATGGCGGTGCAATGTGGTTGCCGCGGTCACGAAGCATTTTCCGTTTGCTAAATGCCAATGGGGTTAGCTGCAATTAGCCCGACGCCGGTGACCCTAAAAGTGGGGCAGATAAAGAAAAACCGTTGGCTTAATCGAGGCTCTATTTAATTAACCGCATCAGGTTTAAGTTGTCAAACTGTACTTAATTTTATAGAAGTTCAGAGGTTTAAGTTTTGACTTTAATCCCAAAAATGTTCCCGTACATTTTAGCAAAGGTTTGCTTTTTTTTTTAAGAGGAGCCCTAAATGCGTCTTTTGGTTAAAGCAGCGTGAAACCAATAAACTTGGCCTGAACTTTTTCACATAATAGGAAAAAATTGTGTTCTGAACGAGAAAGTTATTAAAAGCAGCAGGTAACCAATAACATTGTGTTAACTGTTCGGTTAAAGTTTAACACAATGCCAAACTTAATATTTCCTCGGATCCCTACTGATTATGAAAGTTTTAAATGTATTTTGCAAAATTCCCTGAGTAGAACCTTAACTTGAACTTAATTCAATTGAGGTTGAATGTGCCCCAAAGTAAGGGCTACAATTTGTGTGTTTGAATCCATTGTGTAACTTAAGTGTTCCAATACACCTTGCTTAAGTTTGAACTAGCTTTTTGTGCTATAGAGCTGTTAAATCAAATTGGTGCCTTTGGCATTAAGGTACTTTACTAAACTCCAACATAAGCTATACAAACAACCATGTATTGAATTTAATTTTACAAAAGAGTATTTTACCATTGGTATTAACTGACAACCTTTTAATCTCGATAAAAGTAATTTAACATTCCTAGACCTCCTCATGATTTGTTTACAAATGAAACCCAAGCCGAAGCAATTGGAAATGCAGATTGAATGGTTTTGGACATGGCAAATTAATTAACACCTGCTCTCGGATTACATTTCGGCAGATTGCCGATTATGTAAATCTGTAAGAAGGCGCATTTAATGAGGAAACTTAATTGCTTATTAAATAACTCAGAGGCAAACACGTGAGCCCGGCGGGCTGGCAAAATTTGAGATCCCGCGGCAAGTGCTTCCCCAGCTGAAACTCAAACACGAACTTCTGGGGAAGAAACCCAAGCATAAACAGCACTTGGCCAAAGACAAATTCTGAGATGGAAACTTTTGCCAACAGCAACAAATGCAGCTGCAGAGGAAGAACTTCTCCATCTGGGAACAACTACAAGTGACCCATGTCCCGGGCATCGCAACTCAGGCATTCGCTTATTATATTTACAACTCTCGTCGGGACGTCAAAACAAAGTTCACCACTCTGCCTTTTGTGAACCAACCGCTGAAAAATATATATGGTAGTTTCGCTTTGAAAACAACGTACTTTTCCCCCCATTAAATATCACTAATTGGCCAATTGAAATTTGTCTTTTGGGGGTCATGTTCCCACAGAAAAGGGGAACTAGCTTTTGTTTTCACTTCCATTCCAACTGAATGCAAAACAAATTTGGTTGAAAATCAAACGCGATTCGCAAAGGAGTCAAGCTGTGGCATTGGGAATTAATCATTCAAATAGGATATGGGTCTACAGTCCTTTCCGGCAGAATTTACTTGCTCGTTGGCCGTCAAAGAGCTTACACAGTTCTGTCAGTTGATTTGAAATGTGCGCAGGCTGCTTTTGAATGCTCGTTAAAAGTACCAAGTTTAGAACTTCCCAAATTGTGCCCTAGACTTATTGGAGAATTTCAGCCCCCTCCTAAAACGCCCAAAATAAAATTATATATCATTAAATTGTGATTATGTGCGCATAAGCAATTGTTATTCCATTATCATTTTCTAATCGTATTTATTGAAATGGTGTTTAAATGGTGTCAAATTCCCTCATTGAGAACTTTAGTAATTTGAATTTTATTCATATATAAATGTCATAAGCCAGATCAACAAGAATTAATTTTAAGAAAATATAATAAAATTATTTCAGTTTAATAAGCCTGAAGGAAATAATTTGTATTTAATTACATTTTTATATTTGAAGTTTAGTTTGGCTAATAATATTCTTTCTGCAACATAAAAATTCAACCTTTCTGCTTATATAGCTTTTATTAGTTTTATTTTTCATCTGCATTTCAATTTAGTAGTTGTTCATTCAATAGTGTTCTGAATGAGTTCGAGGGCAATTGAGCAAAACCTGTTGATTTTCAAGTTTTTCATCTGGCTATATATCACTTTCTATGCAAATTGAAAGTGCTTAAAAATGCAATTTAAGTAATCAATTTTGGTTTCTTTATATTCCTTCGGAATAGCCTCTTCTCAGCCATTTAGTCTAACTTTTTAGAACCTGATTACGGCATTCGAGGGTCATTCAGGATCATCAAAGGACCCAACTGAGCACCGAGTGCTTTTCGCAGGCCCCTTGTTGTTCGAGTAAAGGCGCAAGTAGGCGTGACTTGTTTGGGCCCATCTGACATTTATTCGATTATGCCAAGCTCTCTCAACAACGGCCAGGGCCAGACTTTCGCAAATTATCCACTCCTATCAGCCGCTTTTGGTGCGCCAAGGCCAACTGGTGAGCACTAAACAAAAACGGAACCATCACTTAGGCGCTCTGATTTTTGTATGACGGATATGCGCTTTTTGGCTGGATGCACAAACGTTTCGCTGGCAAATGTATTTGTGCTTTTTTCTTTTTTTTTTTTGCCGCCACAAATTCATCCGCTGTTGAAATTTAATTACGAGTGCAAATGGTTTAAAGTGTGCGGCTATGTTCTGCTTGGCAAATGTTCGTCCTGCGGCAACTGGAACCGCGAGATGATTGCGCGGAAACAATTACCCAGCCACTTGCTGGAAAAACGCGGAAAATCGCTAACAACCACCGCGAAATAGCAAGAAATATTTTATTCAAATTAAGTTTCGATTTTTGTTTTTTTTTTAGGACTTGCTGCTCGTTTTGACAAGAAGCTGTCACAATAATTGCATTGCAAATTGTTGGACTTTAAAGGGCAGAATAACAACACAAAAAAGCGGGATTAATTTTAAATATAAAAACGTATGTATTACAGAATATTTTTGTGTTCTTTAAGTTCAGATTGCCTGATAATATTCAAGGGGCTTTTGAACAGATTAAATTATAAAAACAAATTTATGTTATTGAATCCTTTGTGCTACTACGTCACAATTTTTTCCTTGCTTTAAATGGCTAAACATTTATTTTTATATGAATAAATTTAATCTTGACGTTTCACGTTACACAGCTAATAGATTAATTGGCATAAATTCAATTACGAAATAAAAAGTTTTACGGAAGCTATAAAAGTGTTTGGTAAAATTAAATTCAGAGCAGAGCAGAACTATATTGGCTAAGAAATAGCTTAAAACCTATTTCTTAAATTAAATTAAATTTTATTGCTTTGTTTAAAAGCATAACAATTTAATTATATCTTATCTTGATGACAAAATCAAAAGAGTGTTACATGTGGATACAATATATATAGGCAGGGGATAGACAAAGTTAGTAAGTGTCCAAATATTTATTAAAAAAAAGTATAAGGACATGAATTTAGGTACAAATTCAAGAATATGTTTATAAAATAAGCTCTGGCTGAGCAAGCCAATCCACGCATGCAATAACATGTGTCCGGATCAGACATGTAATCTGACACCGCTTTTCCAGCGAATCCTGTACTTGAAAGATAACACCAGTTGGAGGGCCACGTTTCAAAGTCGATCCATAAACATGAAATCGACGGCTTTAAGGGAAAGTAAATCCGAGTTGGGAATATTTTTTCTATGTTGTCTTTGTGCTTTTCTTGCCATGGGAACAACCCATGACCCCCCTTGGGTATATTGATTTATGCTCGCGCAAGTTTTCATTTCACAATTTTCACTTATGTACGGCAGTTTATTGCAGTCCTCATCTGCACTCAGCCTTTTTCCCCTGCGACGTCCCTAAATCCCCCTTTTCCTCTATCCGCAGCTGGTGCTCCGACGGGTCTGCTTTTCCCACCAAATGCAAAACTGGCGCCCCAAGGCTGTGACAGAACAGAAAATTCCATGCCGCCATCATCAACAGGCTCTTAGCGCTTAAACGTGCATGGAACAAAAAATTAGCACCTTGTTTAAAAATTTAAACGTGTTTAGAATATATTTAAAGCAGGTAAACATTTAAAAAAAAAACTATCATTTCTAGCAGAATGTATTCGGAATGTGAGTTTGAATATTTCTATTATTACATTGTTTATTTATGGTTTTGAGACACATTTTAAATGTGAGGTGATATCGTCACCTTTTTTGAATATTTTTATTGTGTAAATATTTGACAGAAAATGTAGGAATGTTTAATAAACTAATATGCTAAAAATCAAAAGTTTGACAGCTGCAAGCATTCCATGCATATATAAAAAGTGTAAACAACATGGTGGAGCAAGGCAATTCACCTTTTCACCTTTTAAATTTAAGGGTCATTCAGTAAAAAAGATTTGTGGGTATCATAAACAGGAAAATGATATATCTTTTAAAGAAATAAATCTTAAAAAATATATTTGATAAAATCTATATTTTGGTTATTATAACATCATTCTTGTAATTTTAATTTCTTTAAATTTTTATGAAATGAGAAAATTTCTTATATTTATTTGCATCACAAAAAGTTATTTTTTAACAGCAGCAAATTTTTCCCCCTGTGTAGCGGCGATGAATACTAATGCTGATGGCTAATGCCGCCGAGATAGGAACAGCACGTTGCTGAAACTGAGATCTGCGCCGCATTAGAGCATGTCAAGTACTCAATCTGGGCCGAATAAAGCCACGGCGCCTTTAAGATGCGAATTCCCATTGTGACCGGCCGGCGAAACA